AATGCTTCAGTTCAAGCTGTTGGCAGAGCCTTGCATCGCTTCGAAACAGTTGTTCCAACATCGGAAGAGACTTCCAGGTGGAGGAAGCCAGTGGATTCGCTGCTATATCCGATCCTGCTCGCCCTACCAACTAAAAATGGCGGATGGACGATTCTTCGATAAAACAACGGCTCTAATTGTTTGGCAGTTTGTAGTTGATCGAGTTGTTAACTGCTTGCTTATGTAATTACTTATTCAGTCTGTTGAAACATTTATTTTTGTCCAATATTTTTATCAAATTATGTCCCATTTTATGTGCTACTCATTATTTACTGCTTACTTTGCTCAACCGGGAAAAAGGTACTACTAGGTAATGACCTCAAAATTTATTTTTAAAATTAAGATTTTTGAATTTTCGCGCCATTTGAAACTTAACTTTCTCTACTTTCACTTCCGTTGCGGAACATTTACTTTCACTTCCGTTGCCAACATACATTTCCAGCTTATAATGTAGATTGTATTACATTCTAATTACATATACATTAAATATATATATAAATATACATTATATTAGGTTTATTTCAATAAAAACTTTAGTAAGTATTTATTCGGTTTCGATAACTAATACATGAAAACTGTTAATAGTATCTTGGATTTCAGTATTTACTTTACATGCATATTTATATACTCGCCAACAAATATTTATCTCATTGTATAAAGGATAACTTGAATAATCACATAATCATAATTTTAGCCATAATTCTCACAATAGTTCAAAGATTAATGTATAACCATTACGTAATACGATTTGAATATTGAATTGCAGACTTATTTATGCAGATAGCTCAAATCCATTTAACATTGCAGACCTGTTTGGAACGGGTTTATTCAACTGAATGCAATGTATTTGTGGCAAGATATGTAGAATAGAAGCAAAATCTGGAAAAATGTGGAAATAGCCTTGTCCAACCCCAAGAGTCTCAAGGTTGGTCACGTATGTAAAATCTTGCCTACAGATACAGATATTCTTTATTGTGTTTACAAATTTTTTTTGAAAACTGGCTTTTGAGAGGTTGTTACCTAAGCGCAATGTTATACATACTTGTTCGAGACTTATTACTTATCCTCTGAAATACGCCTGTTAAATGTAAGTATGTATTTTGTACATACGAAATTGTTTTGTCTATGCATGTATTCAATTGCCCCGTGAACAGGTGTCTGTTTGTTGCCATGGTGATGTCCTGAGTGGAAAAGAGATGTGCGGCAGAGAATTTTTGCGTCTTTTAATTGATGCGCAGGATTAATTTGTCGGTATATTTAGTTAGTCACCAATCAACTCCTCTTGTGGTTGAACTCTTAATTGGGTTGAATAGTTAATTGTTGCTTAAATAAAATACAGATATACCAATATTTAATTAAGTAGACAAATTCACGCGTTTATTTCTTCGGTCATGTTCTAAAATCATGAACAAGGCACAAGAAATTAGGGGCGATCCATAAATTATGTCACGCAAAAAAGCCCTTTTTTGGGACCCCCCCTCCCCTGTTGTCACGCCTTTGTCACGCTCGTCGTGACCCCTCCCCCCCTCTTGTCACGTCACGCATGAAAATCTGAATTTTTCTGATACCTAGCAAGAATAACATGCATGTTCATATAAAAGGGGGCGCGTAGTAAATATTGCGTAATATCAGGACTCACAAGGGAATCTTTTGTGCTGTGTCACCTGTGTTTTTTCACAAATTAACTTTATTTTGCCGAATTTCATTAAGCCACGCCTTTTTCATGGAAGATGTAGTGAAAATAGTCGTTGAAGCGAAATATTTCCTCAATAACTGAGTGAAACCCGTGTAATTTTACAGGATAGGAACAATCCTTAGCTCTATTTATACTCATATCACACCTTTCATGGAGTGCATGAAAAGTCATAACGTTATAGATTTGTAAGCAACAACCTTTTCCAAAATTCCCGTTAATATTTTATTATTTTTAGATTTCAAAAGTATCAAATAAGTTGAAAAAATCCACCAAATTTTTTATTTATTGCTATACATTTTTAGGCCTTTTAAGATGGCCTTATAGATTCGTCAGGATGTCTGTCTGTCCATCCGTCTGTGCGTCCGTCTGTGCGCACGATAACTCTCTTTAAATACAAGCTATGGACTTGAAATTTTGTATACTTTATCTTCGGGTCCAAAGTAAGGATGAGTTCGAAGATGAGCCTAATTGGTCAAGTGGTTGACCGGTGGGGGTCATTTAGGTGGATCGGATGGACCGCACACAAATATAAATGTCATAGAAATGTTCTAAATTTGTCGCAAGAGGCTTAAATTTACCATTAAGTTAATAATGCATCGCGAAATTATATGCGAATCATTTATTAAGAGTCCGACTTTCAGTAATAATGCCATCTTAAAAGACCCCTCAAAGTTGCTTGGAGTAGGTTTTTTAATTGTTAATCATGCAGCTGTCTTCAATTAGTACACATTTTTGAAACTATGGTTCTTTCGGACGAATTTTGTAAATTTTTGGAGCTTTAGTAATGTTTTTTAATTGTTGAATGAATATCTGCAAAATTATGCTGATTTTTTTAAATTATGCAAACTTTATAGTTTAATCATGAATTTTAATTTTTTTAAATTTACAAACAATTGAATATTGTGCAAATTATTTGAAGGCTTGAACAAAATTTAGAAACTTGGTTGAAAATCTTAAAATCTAAACATTGGCTGAAATTTTGGATGCATTTGATATTCGGCTGGACAAATATTTCTAAATAATTCCGAAACTTTAGTGGTCATAGTCGAAGAATTAAAATTTGATTTAAAGTTTGCATTTAGTTAGGCCTGAAAAACGTGATGTCACGGACCGGCCGAACCCCCCCTCCCCATATGTCACACTTTGTCACGGATGCTTGGAACCCCTCACCCCCACCCTCAGCGTGACATAATTTATGGACCACCCCTTATCAGTAAAGGCATTATACCTAGGGTCAGAGCTCCCATCAAGTCGAGTCGAATCAAGTTTTACACCAGCTCTATTCGACTCGAAATTTGTTCTGACTCGACTCAAAAGTTCGAGTCGAGTTGATTTTCTTCAAATTGAGACGTCTCCATGACTCGACTCGTAACTCGACAAATCGAATCGAGTTAACTCGACCCTAGTGGAGCTCTGCTTGGGCAGAAGATAGATTTGTTTTTACATCTGCAGGCAGGATTATAAATACGTGACCAACCTTAAGATTTATATATACGTGAGCAATCTTTATACATACGTGACCAATCTTGAGACTTATACATACGTGACCAATCTTGAGACTCTCAGGGTTGGGCAAGGTTATTTTCACATTTTTCCATATTTTACTTCTATTCTACATATCTTGCCATAAATAAGTATGCACATTGTATTGAGTTGAATAAACCCGTTCCAGACAGGTTTGCAATCAATCAACAACACGTAGATACCTGTGATGCAACAAACACATTCTTATATAGGTATGTGTATGTGTCTCATGCGTCTCGCGTGTCATGTTTCCATAATGAGACATTAAAATTAATACTGTGACTGTAATATTAATTGCAATTTAGATGTTATTAAAAAATTCTTTATGTTTAATTTTTAAAAAATGATCAAAAATTCCCTCATGTGATAGACAAGAAAATTTTGAACTTTTTACGGTAATACAGGGGGTGGTCCAAGAAGCTGTATAAATGTTCCCTAATTTTTCTAGCCATAAGACGGATCTTTATGGGTTCAAAACTTGCTCGATATGATAGTCTTTGTTCCTACCTTTAAGAATTCATACATATATCACTTTGTATATATTCTACGGATCCAGGCCAAACCAGACACGGGTTTATTTTAATAAAAACTTTAGATATTTATGTATTAAGTAGCTTCAGCTACTTTATGCGAAGATTTTGTCCGTCTGTCCGACAGCGGGATAACGGGAGAACGGATCGAGATAATCGAAATCGGTTTCCGACATTATGTATACTTATGACCCAAGGGGGAGGATCCTATCAACTTTTGGGGCCAATCGGACCATCCCCCCTGCGCCAGGGGGTGTGGTCGGGGTAAAATGAGATTTTTACAAAAATTGAATCTGTGGATGACGTACAGTGAAATTGAGTGTTCCCGCGATGCGGTTGGGGTGAAGTGAGTCTAAAACTACTTCCTTATGTGCCTTTACGACGGTTTACTTGTTTCGCAGGCAGGATTAAACGAACGTGACCAACCTTGAGACTGTCAGGGTTGAGCAAGGCTATTTTCACATTTTTCCATATTTCACTCCTATTCTACATATCTATTTAGCCATGAATACATTCCATTCAGTTGAATTAACCTGTTCCAGACAGGTTTGCAATTAATCAAAGAAACAAACATGTTATACAACTACATACTTATATAATTATGTGTGTCTGTCCGTCTGTCTGTCTATTAATATTCTGACTGGAAAATTCATTTCGTAAAAATAATGTCTGAAATGAAAAAAAACCACGTCTGTAAAAATTATTTCCAACGCCATGTATATTTATTAAATTTTTATTTATTATCCCCTGAATTAATTTAATTAGTTTACATAAGCCATACAAACATGCCATGCTTAAAACACTAGTTAGATAGATAAAGCGTCGGTTAATGCATACCTGAAGCGTAATGGTTTCAGGTACCTGTTATGCACCCTATTAGTGATACCGTTAACATTATATTGCTCCATTGAGATAATTACATATGTACATAGTTATGCCAAGCCGTTTGAATGAAAGGAGTGCGAATTTGTGGACACAAGTGGTAAAGGGGATAGCCTTGCATTATGTATGCACGTCCATTATTTTTGGCAATTGTGGGTATGGAATTAATTGCTGACCACTCTTTACATGCATTTTCACAACCTAACCTAATCTAACAAAGTAAAATGGTTTCCAAGAAATCTTGATCCTAAAAAACCTCGACCGAGATAAATAAACAAACGTATAAAAGATCACTTAACATCTCACATCCCATCACTATTCAACCATGGCTCTCCTCGAAAAGATCACCAAACTCGTCTCCCGCTACTTCCTCCTCCCTCTGGTCACATTGTACATGTACCTGATCCAAAATCCTAAATCTCGGGAGTACTACAAATCCGCCGGAATCCTTGACCTCGGCGATGTCTCGATCAACTACGTGAACAACTTTAGTCGCCAAATCTCCTCCACGACGTACTGGATGGAAATGTATAATCGCGTAAAAGAGGCGGGAGCCTCCCTCGCCGGCTGCGGGTTGGCGGGACATGACATCCTCATCCCGAGAAGTCCCGCCCTAATAAAATCCATTTTGGTCAAGGATGCCTCCCATTTTGACCGGGTTGGGAATCTCCTCTCTTTAAAGGGGGATTACATCGCGTCAAAAACGTTGCTCTGCCTGCAAGGCGAGGATTGGACGAAAACCCGGGCGAAATTTGAGGCTGCCTTTACACCGAGTAAAATCCGACGGAATTTTGTACAGGTGGACAAACTCGGGAAGGAATTGGTGCAATATTTGAATCGAGAAGTGGAAAAAGAGGCCCAAATTAATTTTGGACAGGCTGCCTTAAAGTTTACGACGGATGTGACGGGCTCGACGATGTTAAATTTAGATACGGGATCCCTTCGGACACGTGGTCCGACTCGGTTTGAAGAAATCTTGGATAAGTTGTTCTCGTCCTTTGATAATTTTGCGAATTGGTGGAAACCCGGGTTTATTCAGTGGTTTCCGAGAATTGCGACGTATTTTAAGGTTACACTGGTGGACGAGGAGATCGTGGAGTTTTACAGGAATGTGGCACAGTTTGAGATGAATAATGAAAAGGGAAGAGATAGGAATAATTTCGTCAGTGTGGTCCGCTCCACGTGGGAGGAACTGTACGGAAATCGAGGGTTGTATGACAGGTAGGGATGGACAGGTGTCGTGTCACGGAAAAAATGTGAGGGTCGTGGCATGTCAAAATGTCAAGTCTTGTCAATTACGACATTTTTCGCGAATTATTACCATTTTTGCATAACAGGATTTGGAAGTGTAAGTTTTGTCAATTATGACATTTTTCGCGAGTGTTTGACATTTTTTACATGTCTATCAGAAAAAATCTTGACATCTTGACTCACATTTTCTCCACAGACAAGAATCTTGTCACAAGATATTGTAGTAAATTGTTCAAAAATAATAATCATTACATTAATATATTTACGGTCATAAACAAATTTATAAAAACTGTCAAAAAGAAAAACACTTCAACAAATTTAAACCTGTCAAAATGTCATTGGCAAATTGAAACTAATTGCAGCTCGGATCACGAAGAAGAATGGATCACGGCCAATTTGTTTGGCATGGTTTTGCCCGGCTACAAAACAACGGAGACACTCATCGCGATGTGCGCCTATGTTTTAGCGCTGCATCAAGACGTCCAAGACAAAGTGAGAGACGAAATCAACGCCACGTTCGAATCGAACCAAGATGACTTAGATTTCGCCGCGGTTAATCGAATGACCTATATCGACATGGTGATCAATGGTAACCTTATAACATGCTTCGATAAAACGTTATGATTAGGGAGATTGCGAATTAAGGCTTTCTCACCTAAACGAAAACGTACCCTGTAAATAAAAATGAGTACAATTTACTCAAGGCTGAGTGGAAAAAGAGGATCACCCAACTAAATGCTAAAATTTGCCCAAGTTTGTATAAATTTTGCCAAACGTTGGCTAAATTTTACCTTGTGGCATTCTCTTTTTTCACCCAACGTTGAGGAAATTTTACTCATTTTTATTTTCTTCAAAAATCAGAACAAAATATTCTTCCCATATTAATTCAATTTTTGAATGAATGAATAATTCATTCATTTATCATTAAATGAATGAATAATTCATTCATTTATCATTAAATGAATGAATAATTCATTCATTTATCATTAAATGAATGAACGTGAACGTACATATATGCTCATACCGTGACTAAAATAAGTTTACCCTTATTTTCTTTCAGAAACTTTGAGAATGTACTCGCCCATAGGATTGGTGGGACGCGTGTGCAAAAAAGAATATCCCGTTCCTGATACTAATCTTGTTTTGAAAGTAGGCGATGTAATTATCATTTCACTTTACGGGCTACATTATGACGAAGAATATCACGAAAATCCAGAAATTTTCGATCCGGAGAGATTTTCTTCTGGGGTAAAAAATAAGGACTTTAGCTTTCTCCCGTTTACTCAAGGGCCAAGGAATTGCATAGGTGAGGAATTGCACACATATTTTAATTTATTCAACGTTTTTCGAACATTTTTGAAACACGTTCAAGTTTTTTGAATTGTCATAATTTGAATTTGACTCATTTATTTTTTTTTAATTAGGATCCCGGATGGCAATGCTGGAAACTAAAATGGCGTTGTGTTATGTCCTCAGAAACTTTAAACTTACCCGTCCCCAGAAACTCTCATTCCCATGAAGTTTGTTAATTCACAATTTCCAGCAATGGATCCAGAAAAGGTGGTCGTTAACTTTACAAAAATTCAATCGTTATCAGAAGAAAAGTTATAATTATTCGACAAATATGGAAAGAACCAATATTTATTTGTGTATGTAGCAAGTTTAACCGAAATATCTAACTACTTCTACAGAAATTTAAAACTAATTTCTAAATCCATACTCCATCAACACCACGTGGTTTTTACGATTAAAATAAAATTTATCAATTTCCCTGATTGAGGAAAACCCCAATAACCTCAAAGCCTAAGTATAACTTTTATTATGCGACTTTATTTAGTTAACTAGGCGAAATTGCATGCTGTGGTAAGATGGTTTATTTTCGTGTTGGGTTGATAGCTCGCAAAAATTGATACTTTGCGAGCTATGATTTGGTTAGGGTATGTAAATATTTATTTACGATGTAGAGTGTGAGTTGATTCATGGTGAATGCATTAATAACTACATAAAGGGTGTTGATTTAATTTCTCCCCAACTTTACCCTGCAAAAAAACGAAAGCTCGTTTCTCAAACCTGTGACACGAAGCAGGCCCAACTGTTTTCCCGGAACATCATAATTTCTCCGATTTTTATATTATTTTTAATTTCTCGGCAACCAAAGTTTTTATAGGATCTCTATGATGGTGATGACTGACCTTTCATATAGGGCTACTCATGGTAAAATTTTCAAAATTAAACATTTACAGGTTCTGGAATTGTAGCTGAATTTGTCGCCGTCCGTGTAGTAAAACATGACTGGGGAGAAATTAAATCAACACCCTTTATGTAAAGGTTGATTTAATTTCTCCGTACTCATTTTTTACTACACGGACGGCGACAAATTCAGCTGCAATTCATGTACCTGTTAATGTTTATTTTTGAAAATTTTATCATGAGTGATCCAATATAAAAGGTCAATCAAGACCATCATAGAGATCCTATAAAAACTTTAGTTGCGGAGAAATAGAAAATAATAGAAAAATGGGACACAGATAGACTTAAGCCAGGAAAATGGTTGGAATATGGAGGAGCAGAATTTTTTTCAGATTTAAAAAACGGTGTGAGTGACGTAGGTAGGTAGATGTCCGTTAGTTGACTAACAATGGAGGTCTCCCAACGTATGCTTACAGATTTGGACGAAAATAGTGTCAATCGATCACAAATATAATTAGTATGAAATTTGCAAACAGAACTATCTGCCAATGAGCAGGTTTGCCGGAGATATTAGCATTCAAAGCAGAAAAATGCGCAGGAAGTTTGTAAAATGAAAAATATGCCAGCCTTTTGGTGCGTTTTCTCCTCTTTTTATGCAAATATCTCCGCCAAACCTTAGCATTGACAGATAGTTCCATTTGCAAATTTCATACTAATTATATTTGTGATCGATTGACACTAATTTCGTTCAAATCTGTGAGCATACGTTGGGATACCTCCATTATAAGTAATATCAGGGTTCGCTACCCCGGGTTTTTGTGGGTTTTTGGGGTATCAAATCTCAGGAAAAACCATAATGCTTAATGGGGTTTGTGCGGGGTTTTTGCAAGATTTTGGGGCAGATTGAAAAAAGATTCTTTAAACTACAACGTAAATTAATTAGAATTAAATATACGGATTCAGAATTAAAGTTTGAGCGCTTTATGAGCCACTTGAATTTCCAAGTATCATTACGTATTCAGGGTTTATTATTCGGTTTACATGCCAAACATTACCTTCTGACTTAAAAATCTAAGTCAATTAAAATGTTTAAAATTTCATGCTGAGTTCGAATATTCAATTAGTTTTACTCTAATATGTATTTTTTGGAATTTGGTTTCAACCCCGCCCCATAAATCTACAAAAACCCACAAAAACCCCCAAAACCCCGGAAAAACCCCTGGGATTGGGTTTTTCTAGAAAAACCCCGGGGTTTTCCAAACCCTGAGTAATATCTATGTTGCGGTCCGACCTTTATCTTACTTCATCCAGGTGGCTGATTAAACAGTGTAATAATTCTACGCATATAAATATTGCGCAGTAAATTTGTGTTCCTTATCAATACTAACAATGGAGGTCTCCCAATGTACGCACATGCATTCCGAAAAAAACCAGAACTATGACACCTTTTGAATAAAATGTGCCATGCAATTCGAAAATCATTCTGAAAAGTTTTAGAATACCCGATTTAACCGCATCTGCAGCGGATCGTATCTTAAATTTATGGCCGATTGACACCAGTTTACTCAAAATCTACAAGCATACACCCTGGGAGACCTCCATTCTCAATCAATCATGCATGCAAAAATATGCTTAACCAACAAAATCCATCTTATCAGTAATAAATTCATTACAATATAATTTTTCACGCAAGACTAATCCAGTAATCACTAGACTGATAGCAGGAGGATGATCACTACACAATCTGCTGGTGCTACACCTCAATAAAAATTCCTATAAGCCCAGTTGCTCTTCCACTCCTAACAAATACATACTTGGCTCGTCTTCTTAAAAATATTACCTATATTTCGGTTTCCCACGTCAGCTTTAATAAAATTGATTCAAAATGGCTAATCACGATGCAGAATTACTTGTAGAGTACGATTTCAAGCCTCGACCAACATTAAAACTGGCACATACGAAATCAGAGGCCAGGTTATTTAAAAGCATTTTACTGCGAAAAATGTACAACAAAGTTTGGCACAGGTACACCGTTCTGCCGAACGTTGAAGGACAAAAGGTACTTTTTTATGTTGTTTCATTAATTAGCACATTTCTGTATTTTTGATATAAATTTCCACCGGGCAGACAACTTACTCATAATTAAGGCGAAAATCATGTTCGAACACGATAATTTTTTAAGCATCTCAGCCCAAAAGTAAATAGTGTGAACACCACCTCTTTAAAAGCAATATTTTTGCGGCAGTTGGGCTTAATAGTTAATGCGCCATTGGGAACTGAAAGTTCGCCAAGGCCGACATGCTGCCACAAGGCTTAGATTCCATTTGAACAGCGAGCATTATCTCGAACTATGGGGGCCCATAATGACGCAAATTTTCAGCATCTAAATGTTGTTTCTATGTACTTACATATTTCTTAGTAGTTGCTACACTGTAAAAAAACTGTGAATATTTTTATCTGACCATATGATTTTTTTACGTGAAAGTATTGCATTTCTTAAATGGCGACGTCACTTGTGTTTGGTACACGAGTTTTTGGCTTATTTCCCTTTGGTGACGAAACGTCTCCGTAATCGTTACCCAAAAATAGAGCAGTATAGTACCTCCGGCGACGATTTGTCTCCAAATCATTTAGAGTGTATTTAAAACAAAAATGTTATTTAGGAATCAAATACGTAAATCCCGAATAATGCCAAAAATTGTTACCCAGACGGGAATCGAACCACGGCTCCCTTGAATTCATGTCAAGTGCTCTGACCTCTGAGCTACTAGGGCAATTAGTAACATTATAGGGACTTTTACTGATATTTGTCTGTGGCCTTTTTCTGTGAATTTCTACTTTCTTTTACGGTGACAACGAACTGTTGCCTACCAAAGAAAGTTCACTTTTGGCCAACGATGGAAAGTTATTTTTTATTCCGAACTAGGAATTTATTTTGATTTTAACACTACTATGTTAAAAATGTTAAAAAAATGATCAGTGTTGAACATGATTTGCGTCCCCATTATGAAACATGCTGTCCTTCCCATCTTTAGTACACGATCGGCAACCCATTCATCACCGGGGTAGAAAAAATCAGCTTCACATGTCTCCCATTATATGAAAAAGGATGGAAGCTTCCTGACACAAGTCTGAAAATGGTCACCCTGTGTGAAATTCTTTGTGTCGGAGGCAGCTTTTTCGTCACACCGATAAAAGTAAGTTAATCAAATTGACACGAAAAATCAGACCAACAGAGGTCCGTGCATTAACCACTTTAACGACGACTATGTGGCGTATTTGACCTTTACGCCGAGTACGACCATGTGGCGTAAGTTCCCTTGGCACCGGAATACGACGATGTGTTGTATTGACCCTTGACAACGGATACGACTATGTGGCGTATTTTCCGTTCACACCGGCCTACGACTATGTGTTGTATCCGGAAAAAATTAGGTCATTGCCTCTCCAAGCAAAGCAAAGCAAGAGTTATGAGTCAACAACCCGCCCTTTAGGCGGGAAGATAAATTTTCTGTTAGGAAATAACATTAGAAAGGGATGCAAAATAAATTAATAGCCAAGTGGCTATATCTAGCCAACACGCCGAGTTGTGAAAACCACGGAAATTTCGACACCGATTTATTTCAACAACGCTTTACGATAAGATTAGAGAAATTGTTTTGCTCGCATGTAGCACAAACGGGCGTTTTGGGCGAGAAAACTAAAAGTTGGTTGAATTCCATCATTGCATGGATTTAATTATAGGCCACAAATAATCTTGCCAGTAGGGTAAACTACGTCAAAATTAATGATTACGTATCGGGTGCCGCTGAAATATCTTTTGGGCGGGAAAATTAAAAATTAAGAGATTGCAGGAATTAGTAGAATTTAATTTTCCCGCTTTAAATTGATTTCTATTCACCAGATGCGCCATAGTCTATTTTCGAGCAATTTCCTCTCACGGGATAATTATTCATTGCCATTGCTGTCTATTTAAAGTCATTGTAAGGATTTTTGGTTTTCCCGCCCAAAATCGGCTCCTAAGGCGCTTTAGGCGCTATAATCAATATTTGCGAGTTTACGTACTATTATGCAAGTATTACTCCATGCTTGGCTAACTTTTCATGCAATTACAATCATTTTTAAAATTCGGCGTGTTGGCTATTTTCGGCTATAAACATTGGTGGTTCGCCACAACTCAAAAATGCAAATTATAACTCAAAATCCCTTCTTGAAAGGTTATTCACATCAATTTTCATAAAAAAGTGTCCAGAATAATTCCGGTGGGAACACCATTTTTTAATTCATGGCCCAGGAATTAACGTCATGCAGTAGATAAAAATTTCGGGCTCAAGGGAGGTAAAAATTCGCGGTTACTAGGGGTGAAAGGTATGAAAAAACTCGTCTCCTAGGGTTGAAGTGGTTAAATTATTAGACTTTTTTTTCCAAAGCTGGGGAAATCCAGATTAGGGTTTGGTAATCTGGATTGGGATTAGTCAATCCTTAAGCCAAGCTTTGAAAATATCGAAAATAAACCGTTAAACGCATGTAACGACGGGGTGAAACCAAGAACTTTATAACATTTGTGAGGTGACATAAAATCAAATTTAACATATGGTGTCAGTTAACAGTTAACAAACAGTAATTTAACAAATTCATGTTCTTTGAGGTCAAAATTAATGTCATCATTGAATTCGGGGTTAAATTTCAGTCAAAATTGACATATATATATCAGATATAACTTTTAGTGACCTCTAAGTGACCCTTAGATGACCTCTGAGGTCAAAATGGATGTGACCATTGAAATCGGGGTTAAACTTCCTCTTAAATTGATATATATATATGCAATTTGACCTTTAAATGACATTTCGTGACCTTTTGACCTTGAACGGGGTGACCTTCAGGGTCCATCTTCGAAGTTGACCTTTGTTAGTATATGAAATATTTATGTCCAAAATTTGAAGTCAATATGTTAAGCCGTTCTTGAGTTATCACACGGACAGACAGACGGACGGACGGACATATCAATCTTATAAAGGGCTTTCACCCCTTAGTAATCCACTTATGCCCAATCTCGAAAATTCAGTCAAATAAATCCCCACTTCAAAAAAAAATCCTTGCAAGTTAACCAAAATATGGATTACCGTAAAGACTCTATTTATAGCCGGGTCTAAAGTCGACACAAATCCGACTACAATTTCGAGCCGGGTATAATTAGAGACCCGGGTAAATTATTTTTCGGTTATGCATAACTTGAAGCATCTAAAAACCGACATTAGAGGAATGTCATAATTAGGGATAAGCTTATTAAAGTTTTCAACGTTGGGCTCAAGACCCGGCTATAAATAGAGTCTTTACGGTAATCATAGAATTTGGATTAGTTTTGAGTTTTTTTCAACTACTGAATTCAGTATGTCTCGCACTTCCCTTAACATTAACTAGTGCATTTTGCGTTTTGACAAATTTTTAAACAAAAACGGACATTTTCGTCCGGCTAATCACTAAATGTGTTGTTATTACAGCTACGAAATAATTTAAACCGTTTTCTTTTACTTGCTTTTTTGATTTGAAATCACACAAACATTGAATTATTCCATGAATGAATGAACTAAAACACAAAACATGCCTGAAAAATCCTTAATCTTGATACTAATCCAGATTGGTGAGTCCATACTCCTCATTTTTATACTAGAATCACGTAACCTCTTTGTCCGATGAACTGGTTAAGCTGTTGTTATTACAATGGCTATGCTATAATATTTTCACCTTAATGAATTTAACAAATTTTCTTTACCTTGCGTTTTTGTAGGGTGAAATCATAAATACACTTTGGAACAAATTCATTAAGCAAAATAGAAATGAAAACTAAGTAATCCAGATAGGCCATCCCTAATCCAAATCACTTTGTAACGTAATCTAATCCGAAGCTAATCCAATCCCTTAATCTATGTCTAATTCTAATCCCGAATCTAGTCCAAAAATTTTAGCGACCAAACCGCAATCCTTAATCCGAGCAAAAAATGAACTAATCTCCCAGCTCTGCTTTTTTCATGTGCATACATTTGGGCTTCTCATGTAGAATTTTACCTAACTATGAAATAACTATTCCATATTTTAACATGTACATAAAAATAAAGTGATACTTATAAATACATATTTTGTGCATTTATAACAAGGTTGGGGCTGTCTGTATAAACGGCGTCAAACTTGATGGCACGACTTTGCTGAACTTTGGAGACACTCTAGCACTTCGTAAGCTGCTAGAGGAGAGGGTTTGGAAGCGTCTTACATGGGATGAAGGGTGGAACGGTGACAGTTCAACAAACAGTAAATCAGGCCGCCGTGGAAAGAGAGATATTAATAATTGGCAAACATTCCTATTCTCGGTAACAATATAGTACAAACTTTATGTTGCAAATTAAATCTGCAAATTTATTTGCATGGAAATAAAAATCCAAAACGAACTTATTAAGGAACGAGAATTGGACCCGGAAGCATTCAATACTTTACACGCTATGAATTTCAAGCCTCGTGACGATTCCTCATTCCTCACCACGTTCGACGAGCGAAGGAAGTTAAACGAGGACAAAATCGCCAAGTGCGTCGAATTTTATGGAAACTTTCACCCTGGCGCTAACGAGCTGGTAAGTCTTATTTGCATACATGACTAACAATGGAGGTCTCCCAACGTATGCTCACAGATTTGGACCAAACTAGCGTCAATCGATCACAAATATAACTAGTGCGAAATTTGCAAATGGAACTATCTGCCAATGCGCAGGTTTGGCGGAGATATTTGCATCCAAAGCAGGAAAAATGCGCAGAAAATTTGGAAAATGAAAATTTGCCAGCATTGGGGGTGTGTTTTCTCCTCTTTTTATGCAAATACCTCCGCCAAACCTACGCATTGGCAGATAGTTCCATTTGCAAATTTCATACTAATTTTATTTGTGATCGATTGACTCGAATTTCGTCCAAATCTGCGAGCATACCTTGGGATACCTCCATTGTAAGTATAATGAAAACGGTCTAAAATCCATGCAAAAATGGACTCTCTCACTTTTCAGATATTGTCTCGAATTCTCATCCATCTCAACTTTGTCGAGCTCAAAAGTGTGCGCCTAGTTTCAAGATTGTTTAATCAAGAAGCCATCATACTTATTAAGAAGCGGGGTTACGCCAGACTTGACTTTGGCACATATACCCATACAAATTTGATGACTTATTTTCGGTACGTGAATGAAATGCGGGACTGTCTCATGCCCTCGTGGAAGCTTAAACTTTTCAAAATCAATGAACCGCATCAATTTGTAAGAAAGCATCTCTATTTGTCCTCGTTACAGAGAAAATTTCAGTACGATATAAACCACCTGCTTACAAATTTAAATAGTTACGTGACCATATTGAAATTAAGCGGCCCTATTTACTCCTCGTTGGATTGGGAGTTTAGGATGCAAATACTTGATAAACTTTCGGGAACCTTGGTAGAAATATGTTTCTCGGGTAATTCCGGAACACGTGATGTTATAAATCCTGCCAGAATGGTATACTTTCAGAAAATACTGAAATTTAGACCGTTGCAAAAATTTGTCTTGTGCTTGGATAGAAGGAGTAGATGGCTAAACCGACCAAATTTTGACTTTATTCCTCCGAACGGTCATATCCTAACAGTTTCAGGGATCAGGTCATTACATTTAGATTCAGAGAAAATATGGACCCACATGTTTATTAATTTGTCCGCTTCATTTCCAAATCTGGAAGAGGTCACGATCCATTCGCTGTCTTTAATAGGGTTACAATTTCTCTTCAAGTTAGCCAGACCCCTGATGACATTGATCTTGACAGGATTTCTCGACTTTGGGCGTGAACATCTCCCCCAGTTTGAACAACTACTTGAGAAACATTCAAAATCATTAGTAACGCTGGAATTCATACTTCCAAAATTTGGGGAGATTGCCATGCCTCTCCCGGTTTTCGATATCTTGATTAATTTAAAAATAGGGTTTCCAACCGAGCGAAGGTTGTGTACGACGATTGAGTTTGGAGCGGATAAAATTCCACCGTTTGATAAACATTTGGCATCACTGAAATCTTTAACTCTTTGGATGGCGAGGGATCAAACAATTGGTTTTAATGCTATTGTTTGGAAAGAGTACGGTGTCTTGTTTGAGGCTTTTTTCCCGCTCGGAGATGATATCGAGGTGGTTCCGAGGTACACGAGTTTGAGGGTTCTCGATATTCCGTATGAACAATCCATGTATTCAGATTTGGAGAGAAGGAATGGAATTGTATTACCGAGAGGGGCTAAGCTTGCCGCAATGTTTCCTAACGTGGTGAACAAGTGGATGAACAAGATACGGGGTATATGATAAGATATGAACTTTGTTCATACCTGATCGGGGAACTGCTCCAATTAATAGTTAGGTTGATAATAATTCTGTAAAGAAGAAAATCAAACGAACCAGATGCGTAGTTCTTTAATGGTTTAGGCTCGGACGCTTTGGAAATGGGGAATATGTAAATCAAATATTTTCAATAAGTTTACGAAGTATTTATTAGATAAAAAAGCGACGACTACATAATTAAATTACTGATAATGTGCAAAAAGTTGAGACAGAATAATGACATGTCTCTATAGGTTCCATGATTTCTATTGTTTTGCATGGAATTACAAGAAATTACAAGGAGAGAAGTTTGCAGAAAATGGCAAAAACTTTTGTGGTGTGTTGGCTACTCTACAGAATCTTGGCCATGCTTATCTTATAAAGATTAGTCATAAGTAAATATTACAAGAATTGTTGCATAAAGACCAAAAAATAAAATAAAATTTAAATCAGAATTTTGCTGTGAATTATTAACAATTTCAAACCTAATTTAGTCAATGCAATTTGTCAAAAATCGTATTCAATTAATTCCATTGACGTTTTATTAATTAGGTTTAAAAAATGTTGAGATTATAGTTACATATAAATAATAATTGTTACAAGTGGATTATATTATCTTAATCGTCAGTAAATTTCGGTTATGAACGAGATATCAAATCAACAAGTCCGTTCTCCATGAAATCTTCAATTATTTTCTTCAGTTACAGAAACAATACGTGCAACCACCCGCACTTTGGCAGCTTCCTCCCGTACTTCCCGCCTTAATGCAAGCATTGCTACATGAACTTCCAGACAATTGGCAGAGACGACTTCCTCCCGTGGGTGACCCGAAAACTAGAGAAAAAGTAATTACGAACAATTAATTATATTTAATTGCTGCATAAAATATGCAAATCAAGTCTTGCTCACAGGTTTTAGCCATTTTATTTTCCGGCACAACTTCATTTTGTCCTCTGTATGCCGCTATTTCACTGATAAAGCTGGCTATTACAGTGACCAAAAGGAAATACGTGGAAAATTTGCACATTATGGGAATATTTCTTTAGAAATTCTGGTAAGATGCGGTAACGGGACTTGAGCAGAACTGACAAATTTTTTGATAGGATGAACAATTTATACGGATTAGATCCAGATGTAAAGAGAAATTTGCGACCAACTTAATTTCTCGCAGAATATTGGTCTAATTTTTATCTGCAGATTCGGCAACACAACTGTGCAAATTCTGACTTACCTGAGCGGAAGTCTGAACTAATCTGGATTAATCTAGAAAATTGCAAATTTGACCTAAAAATTTGGCAATATTCGAAATGCACAATTTGAGTCCTTGTAGAAAGTAAAAGTATTTGATAATCCTACTTCCATGATAACCAGAAAAATCAGCAGCAGATTTGGATGTTTCCGGATTTATCCAGTTCCGTTTGGATAAATTTTCACACATTCTCCACGTGCAGACATGTTTACACAGTAGTTTTGAGACTAGCCAAAAAAATCCATGTACTTCATTGGCTTATATTTTCCATTTAATCATAAAAACAAACGGTAAATATTTACAGTCTGTGTCCTAAAAATAAACCCAGTATTTGACAACTTTTACGCAAATTGTGTCATTCGTCTCTATTTTTAGGACACGTCTGCACACTGTGTATATAAATTGTTTCCACTTTCTAAAAAAGTTTCAGTCATCCCAAACACTTGATTTAGTGACAATTCCACCTGAAAAATTTTCACGTAATAATGTGCAAATCTTCATCAATTCTAACCTTAGGACTTGTCAGTCTTATCTGCTTTACCACTGCGGTAAATTCTGCAAGCAAACCCCAGAGTAATTTGCAACCCACACAAGCAGAACTAGGGGAAACGCAAGACGACAGTATGAGATTCTTTTGTAAGTTTTAACCAATACAATGTAACAAGGGAAGGTACCAAAGTGTCCAAAGAATTAAGGGTCGACACTTATACTAAACACTTATCTAAATGTGCAAACCGTAAGACTCATTCATTTTAATTACAAACTGATGGAACTCAGATTTGAAATTCTCTCTTTGTCGATATTTTTGGCCCTTTAATCCTACATTCCCCATCATTTACTCGAACATACAGAGGTGAAATTCCATGCACTCTTAAAAATAAGGAGTAAACACATTCCAATTTCTGAATTCAAATTAAATTTTACTCTTCGGAAAGTTAATGTTAGTGTAGATTTAGGATACTTTACATAATTTAGAATTCGTGGGTGGATGAACTTTTCAAAAGGGTAACATTATTTTTTAGAGGATAGACTTAAATATCAAACACTATTGAATTTGACATGCAGATTCTTCCACTTTACGTGAGTAGTCATACATATATTAAGCACATTTTTCGTATAGTCGTCTACACTAAGCTCGATTGACACCTTGATCTGTTCTCCACTTACAATGCAAGTCTCTTACGTGTACAACTCAGATCTGGTTGGGACCAATTTTAGTTTGTTCACCACAAAAATTAAGCATACCCGTATTTTTTCGTTTTCCATAATGCGATAATTTGAGCGCGTGGCGCGAATTTTAAAACATTTTTCTGTCAAAACCTCGGTTTTTAAAAGTTCTGTAACTTCTCGAATTTTGGCGCGAATCCAAAAATTCGAAAACACGTCTCTTCATAATGACTTATTTGACTTATAAAAAATCCACATACATTATTTTTTTGAAATTTGAAAACTTGAAAGAGTTTATAATTTTAATGAATTTAAAAACTGGCAAAAAATTTTGAAATTCAAATTTCGAGACAATTGAATTTTTCATAAGTCAGGTAAATCAATCTGAAGAGACAATTTTTCAAATTTTTGGATTCGCGCTAAAATTCGAAAAGTTACAGAATTTTTAAAAAGCGAGGTTTTGGCAGAAAAATGTTTTAAAATTCGCGCCCGGCGCTCAAATTAGCGCATTATGGAAAACGAAAAAATACGGGTATGCTTATTTTTTGTGGTGAACAAAATAAAATTGGTCCCAACCCGATCTGAGTTGTACACGTAAAAGACTTGCATTGTTAGTAAGTAAGTAATTGAGTTATTCATCCACTAAATTATGAAATGCAGGGTCTCTGTTCGGCGTATTTGGACGGCCAACGGGTGGAACCCGTCTCTGCCAAATGTCTGGAACTGCTTGTAATACTGGTTGTCAAATTGGTGGCAGTACCGGAGGAACCTGCACGGTGGCTGGAGGTTGCACATTTTGCATGTGCAATTAAAGTAATTTAGTAAAAAAAATCTTGATATAAACGGGTTTCGTTTTGTACTTAAAAATTGAATTTGAAACTAATGTAATACTTTTATCTGGTTCGATTAGAAAAAAATAATAATTTGTTTCTTTATAAAATATTTAATTATTTAAAATACATGTAATGATTTATTAATTTCTACCAATTTTTCGCAACGTGTCTTATACAGCACTGCATGAAATTACAATAAATACCTAACCGCTCCCTCCTTATACAAATATTGCATTGTATAAGGTGATTTCTTGTAATTGTTCAAGAAATTATGCACACATAAAAAACAATGCTTTTCATGTCTTTGCTTAATGCAATCAATGCATTTAATAGATTTATGAAAACTCAACGCTATTTTGTAAACTAAAAGGAAGTAAATTAATTGAATAATTTCTCCTAATTTGATAATCACAGCCTTTTCTGCTAAATAAATGCAACAACTCGGACCCGGTGGACAAATTTATTGAAAGTTAAATTTTACCCCTCTCACTCGTAACGTAATTTATGCACATTTCCTTACATACAGCCTTCGCTTTGCCACTCATACCACATTCCGGTCGGCTCGAGAAGTTTCAAAATTTCTGTGATTTTAAATAATTCGATTTATTAAATAAATAGCAGATAAGTTTAACTCATAAACTACAAGTTACAATATTCGCCAAATACATAAAAATATTTACCATATTTACATATATGGTTCCTGTTAATTAATTAACATCGATATTTTTGTATGTACATATTTAATTACTCAATTAAATTACACTAATTATTAGCTTATCATCGATCCCTCCACTGTAACGTTATTATCCCGGTCTTTCCTAATCCTGCGAATATTTCTCCTAATATTTTCCGTCATCACTTTCCTCCCATTCTTCTTATACGCGGCGTCCAACTCAGCCCTAAACTGGGCAATAATTTCCTGCGGAGAATCCGTCGTCGTTAGCGCCGCCATGCGAATTTTGCTCATCACCTTCTTCATCAAAACTCCTCCCTCGATGGGGGTGTGATTGTGGGAGTTGACTTCGTAAAAGAATTTCGGATTTACCGGGTCATCCGTGGTGTGGAGACGAACCCCGCATTTTTTCGCTTTACATTCCCACACCGATTTTCCCAGCGTGGCCGAAGTGCTGCGAAAGTTGTACAGGAAGTCGTTCATCAAAACCATGGGCCGGCCCTTCTCCGAGACGAGAGTTTCGATGGGGGGATAATCTTGCGGGGTTAGTTGTTGGCGTGGGGTCGTTTTCGATTTTCCCGCCTCGCTATAAAATAATATTGCAAGATTATACATAGTGAGGGAAGGTTTATACATAAGCTTACGAACTTTTAAGGACATTCCTAATGAAATTTAAGGTACGAATTTTTGCGAAATTTGCCAACAATTTGCCAACATTGTAAAGCATGGTTTCGATTCTTAAGAAAAAGTTCGTAAATAATTCGATCTGAATTTCCAGTTGGAATCAAGGGTGCTATAGGCTTGTGAAACATTTTTTGCAAAATATATTTCCGGAAATGTGTACAAAGTTTAAGTTTACAAGCCTATCGCAATTTTATGTAGTTACAAAATTACAAATTTTGCGTGAACTCCCTCAGTATTTGTAAATTATTGCAATTTTATTGTGTACCTTCGCGAGTTGGAGGCTTCATCATCCCCTCTCGGGTCATAATTTGGGTCATTTAGGTCGTCGCCGTCGTCATCATCATCGTCATTCTGGTGCCGAGGATCCGGCATAATTTCGACGTCCTCCAAGTCCATGTCCTCTCCGAGATCGAGACAATCAATGTCATCGTCACACTCCAATTTAACGTCTGGATTGGATTCCTCAATTGTGGGGGCGACAGAATTGTGGTGAATTTGTGTATGATTATTGTTCCCCGCGGGCTGAGAGGCCTGTGGGTACCACCAGTTCATCATGACTTCCGGCCTGGATGGTGAAGCAGCACGAATTCGGCCTTGTTTCTCTGTTCAGAAAAATATTCCGTGTACATTTTTGCACGTAATTCTTTCACTCAATCTTTCGTAACATTGGAAAATCTGTGCGTTTTCTAAAATAATTTGTCTACGGTGGTCAAGTTTTATATTTTTTTTTACAAAATTTTCCTCACAACCAGGATCTCCCAACGTATGCTCACCGATTTTGAGCAAATTAATTTCAATTAGTCACAAATATAAGTAATACCAAATTTGCGAAAGACGCGATCTCCCAATGGTCAGTTTTGGCAGTGATATTTGCATCCAAAGAGTAAAAAGTTGCTGGAAAGTTGCCAAATTTACACTTTGCAAATTTTTTCCGGATTTTTTAACCTCTGTTGATGAAAAATATCTCCCTTAAGTTCACAGGTATTTAGTCCCTATCCTATTGTATACATCATAATTCATAAATAAAATAAATTATGTGTTCGATTTGCACTAATTTTTTTGTGATAACTTCAGTACGCTGGGAGACGTCTATTATGCAGTTTACAAAAATTTATCGGATAATTCTCCTTACAAATTGATGTAGAATTTTGTAAGTTTACGAAATTTTCGGACTTTACAAGTATTGTCTGTTTCGCACTAATCATTTTTATTTTTGTATGTATTTCCAAAATTTACCTTTCTGTCGCGTCTGACGATCATTTTTGCATCCACCCTTGGCCCTTTGTTTGAGTGAGGTGACCCTTCTCCCCATGAGGTTGAGGATCCCCTGCATGTTCGCGTACAGCAGGGTCACCTCCTCCCACAGCGCGTGACACGTCGAACACAACGCCGCCGGAGCTTGTCGACCCCCCGTCGTCGTCGCCGCCCTCGTTGGCGAAACGCCGACTTGGGCGCAGAGAAATGGAAACGCCTCCATCGTTGTGGACGTCGCCGTCGTGGCGACACTCGCCTCTGCGCAGAACACGCAGTTGGACATGACTTTTCTGAAGAATAGGTAAAAAATATTAATATTCAATTAATTTTCTGCTCGGTTTGTATGTCTTTTAGTATGTAAATTGTGCAGTGAGGATATATTAGGAAAAGTGAAAGGATAAGGGCTCACTTGTAGTACTGGAGGGGTCCGGATTAGGCCTTTATGTCAACGTTTCGACCTCAAAGGGTCTTCTTCAGGACGACGAAGAGGATTGCTTCACATGGTGGTTTGTGGGTCAAATGTGTTTGTGGAACCACAAATCACCATGTGAAGCAATCCTCCTCGTCGTCCTGAAGAAGACCCTTTGAGGTCGAAACGTTGACATAAAGGCCTAATCCGGACCCCTCCAGTACTACAAGTGAGCCCTTATCCTTTCACTTTTCCTTGTATGTCTTTTAGTATTAATGCAAAAACAGGAAGAAAAACTAATAATAAGATTGATGTACTGAGAAAATTCACGCTGACTTCTAGTAATCTTGTAAAATTCGTGATTTCCATGCATTTAAAACTTTTATTTTAGACAATATTTCCTAGGAAAATTAAGTTTGTCAGAGGAGTTTGTTGTACTTTTTATTACAATTTGTAAAAATAATGTACAAAATTTAGGTAAATTTCAAGTCGTGAATGGTTTCAACAATTTAGAAAAACGAATACTTAGGGTGACCATATTTGTCCTGACCAAAACCGGGATCTTTTTTTGCAAAAAAATTTTGCATAATATCCAGTGCTTGACGGTTCCAATATCACCGATTTTTTAGAAAGAACCAGGAAAGGGAGCCAGGGAAAGTAAATATTACATGCACGTTACTGCTATTTATGTGCTAAAATCTACTTTTTCATCCATATTTTTGTGAAAAAGTGAAAAAATTTAATTTTTTAATTTTTTCCTACGATTTTAAAAACCGGGACACTTTATCAAAACCGGGACATTTTCGGGACGCCGGGACAGGTTTTGAAAACCGGGACATCTCCCGGCTAAACCGGGACGTATGGTCACCCTACGAATACTCCAAATCCTATAAATTAAAAGATTTGGTATTATACGAAAAGAAAACGTGAATGTTTTTCGACGACACATTTCCAAAGGAATTGTTTGATTTTACAGGAATTTATCTCTAAATATATTAATGTAAAGCAAAATATTCACTTACATACCACCGGACACTAAAGAAAACTAATTCCTTTGTTAAAATTTCTTCCAAATTGTGGTGAAATCTTGTATTTTAAATATTTTTATTCTTCTCAAAACGAATAACATGTGTTTATGTTTAATATTTGTGTCGATTTCCTTTCGAGTGGTTGGTGCCATACATCCTTCCCCGTGTAAAAATCTCACGTTACACTTTTCCCATGCGAGATAGAGTCGAAGTTGAGAATTTTCATGAAATGCAAAATTTTTATTAAATTTAATAAAAATTATTAACAAATGACACTTACATGACATTTTTGAATGTTTGTAAAAATGTTATGTTTTGAGTATGTAATATTTATAAAGTATCTGAATTAACTAATTAACGCATGTAAAACATAATAACAAATTTATTAGTGCCATGCCAACACCCATGATGCTACAAAAATGCTCATAGGGGACTTGCAGAAAGCATGCTATCGATTTGAGGGGGGTAAGGGTCAAGGTATTTTATCCCTCCCATGTTCAATATAACATGGGACATAGATGTCACCTGGGGGGGGGGGGGTAGGGGTCACAATTTCCCCGGAATTGGCCACCTGTTTCTTGTGCGGCCCCTAATTGGTTGACAATCCGCCTTTTATGGGGTTGTGCATAAATTATGTGACCACTGAAGAGGATGCGAGGGTAAAACCTTTGCACCACATGTGACAAGAAAGGGTAGAATAAACCGAAATTTTTGCATGACATAATTTACGGACGGTCACCAATTGAAATGAGTAACTTTATTTTTGGTTTGTACTCACAAACCAAAAATACATGTATGTTATTAATATCACGCTAGATATTGTCCCCGTGGTCTTGTGGGGACTGAAGTTCAAAAACATCGATCTTCTGCGCAGTGGCCGCGGAAGTATAAACCGTAGGGACAATGTCCCCATCGTCTGAGCCCATCAAATCCCACATTGCATATTTCAATTCATAACATGAATTAAAGTGAATGATTAATTTGCTGCATGTACCATCTTTTCACTAATCAGCATTGAGCGTTATCTGGACAACGTTTTATCTTCGCCCAACTACGTGAGGGGTGGTCCATAAATTATGTCACGCTGAAGATGGGGGGGAGGGTTCCAAGCTTCCGTGACAAAATGTGACATATGGGGAGGGGGGTTTCGGCCGGTCCGTGACATCACGTTTCCCAGGTCTGACTTAATGCAAACTTTAACTCATTTTAATTCTTTGACTAGGACCAAACTAGTTTCGCAATCATTTAGAAATTTATGTCCATCCCCATATATGAAACCTTTGATCCAAAAAGTCCAAAATTTCAACCAAGTTTTAGATTTTGAGATTTTCAGCCGAGTTTCTAAATTTTGTTTAAACCTTCAAACAATTTTCAAAATACTCAATTGTTTGTAAGTTTTTAAAAAATTAAAAATTCATGATGCCATAAAGTTTGCATAAGTTCAAAAAATCGTCATAATTTTGCAAAAATGCATGCAACAATTTAAAAAAAACATTACTAAATCTCCAAAAATTTGCACAATTTAAAAATTCTTCCGAAAGAACCTTATTTTTCATAGTTTCAAAACTGTGTAGGGATTGGAGACAACTGCATGATTCAAAAATGTGTAGCAATAAGTTATTGCCAATAACACAAGAAATCTGAAAAATTTAGTGGTTTTTTTACAACTTATTTGAAATTCTTGATATCGGAAAAATTCAGATTTTCAGGCGTGACGTGACAAGAGGGGGGGGAGGGGTCACAACGAGCGTGACAAAGGCGTGACAACAGGGGAGGGGGGGGGTCTTAAAAAAGGGCTTTTTTGCGTGACATAATTTATGGATCTCCCCTGAGTCGTGAAATGCATTGAATGACTTAACAATGCTATTTAGGTTGGAGCTTCAAAGTAAAAGTTTCATAACTAAAAAATTGAGTTGAAGTGGATAATTATTATTTTTTGCACACGAATCTTCTTGTCACTAAGCAGGATTTAGTGTTATCTGGACATCATTTATATACATAATGGTTTTGTCATTCCTTTTTTTAAATCAAAATTGGATAAATTGTACTTATTTTTGCTTAGACTGGAATCTGGGTAGCTTCACAATGTTTTTTTATGGTGGAACCAGGGTTAGGAAAAACCCGGGGTTTTACCTCGAAAACAACTACCCCGGGGTTTTACCTCGAAAACAACTACCCCGGGGTTTTACCTCGAAAACAACTACCCCGGGGTTTTACTGGGTTTTACTGGGTTTTGGGGTTTTACTGGGTTTTACTGGGTTTTACTCAATGTTTGGGGTAAACTGTAAAAAATTGCAATGTTATACTAATTTATATTTTTTCAAGATTTACCATAAAACTTTAATGCAAAATGCCAGGAACACCCCAAAAAACACTAATATGATCAAACTCCAAGTGAAGCTGTAAATTGGGATTTCTGGATCATAAATGCAAACTTGAAATAAATATATAAATTCACAGAATATTAATCAGAGTACATAATTCGAGTTAAATAAGTACTTGCAAATTAATTCTATTCATTTATCTATTTGAATTTTAGATAAAACCTAGTTAAACCCGAGTAAAACCCAGTAAAACCCCAGTAAAACCCCTTTAACATAGTAAAACTTTTACTAGGTTTTATCTAAAATTAAAGTTTTATGGTAAATCTTGAAAAAATATAAATTAGTGTAACATTGCAATTTTTTACAGTTAACCCCAAACATTGAGTAAAACCCGGTAAAACCCAGTAAAACCCCAAAACCCCAACCCAGTAAAACCCGGGGTCGAAATACCCTGGGTGGAACTCCAAGTGAAATAAAAATTGTTACCCAAGTTTCAGTAGTAGCAGGAGATAACAGTTAAACCCCGTGAAAAAATGAACCCTTGGCGAGAGATTAAAGATGAATATGTATTTAAAACGGAGTTCAGGCTAAATCGGTTCACGGTGCTGCACTCTTAAGGTCGACCTAAGTTCTTACCAGGTAAGAGCCCTTTGTTTGTTTTTTGCGCACGAATCATTTTTTACTAATCAGCAATAAGTGTTATCAAGACAACAGCTGCTTGCCATATGACTGCGGGTAAAAAGATATACATGCATAAATAGTATGCCCAAGGTAACTGGGAGTGAAATGAAACGCTGTCACTTCACCAGTTTTTTGTTTTACAAACATCTAGTTAATTTTGCTGGAAAACCAGTTAATTTTTGCGTAGAAAACAATTTCTAGTTTTTGAAATTTCCTTCCCCGGCGTCAATGCAGTATTGAAGACGCTGTCTCCAGTCCTCGACTGAAGCACGCACTGAATCTGTGAACAAATTGTCTCATTCCGTGGTCAAAGGTTTTTTTAAAGCTTCCAAACTTCTATTAGGCTTAGAAGACACCTTTACCCCTAACTTTGTCCACATTTCATATTCCGAAGACTGAAATACAGCAAGGGGGATGACCGTTTCTAATTGGATATAAAGACCGGAATTTGGTTTCTTAGCCACGCTTTGGTCGCTTTTTGCACTATAAGCTCGTGCTGAGTCCTGCTGAGAGGTCCCATCGATTCCATTGAGTTGGATCTCAGTTAGGGGATGTGCAACGAACTCAAAAACATATTTTAAGAAATTTGATCCCCTCACCTTCCCACCATTTCAATAAAATATACAGGAATTGCCCAAATTAGCTCTTATCTGCCAGACCCGTCACAAAACCTGGATAATATGACTTGTTGGCCTTTTGTCGATATTGGGGGATGTCTTTGACCGATTTTGCGTAGATTATATCAACTAGTTTGTTAAAAGATTTTTCCGATGTGAAAATCTCCTCATTTATAAAAAGAATTCTCTTCACCTTTTTGGCGCGTACCGCTTGAGGAGAGCCCTTCATCTCTTTAGTATGGTTTTCGTTAAGGGTTTGATCAAGAGGTGCAAGTACTACGTTTCAAACTCCTTAGCCTAAGGTTCAGTTTGAGCACTCGTTAGATAATGTGCATCGACCATTTCAGCTGTGAGGCTATTTTCCGTTCAAATTTCCTGAATTTCTTCGAATTATAGCCTTCAGCGCCTTCACGATGGCTGTGGTCCTTGTAGGTTTTCAAAAAAAAAATTCTGCAACTGTGCTTGGTCAATCCGGTCCTAACGAACGTTTTTACAGTCCGTTGGACCCAATTCAAGTACACGTTCGATTCTTGTCATAGTTTTAAAATTCGCAATTTCTCTTCCCATTTTTTGTTGAAAAATTATAGCCGCCGGCCTGCTTTCAAGACTTTCCCTGCTGATATGCTTTGCAAGTAGTAAAAAATCGATTAGCGGTATTTATGTAGAATCGCACGAGGAATCCAATGGAATTCTCAGATTTTCATTATCTTCAGCAGTTTCGACGTAAAGAGCGACTACCAGTTACCTTGGGCATACTATGTATATGCATGCATACTTAACTAGCGAAAACTAGCGATTGAATTTTATTTCAAAGAAATCACTCGTCAATTAATTTTCAGGCGGTGTTCATAAATAAACATTCCGCGTAAATGGTGGGGAATCTTAAGATTGGTTTTATTGTAAAAACAACAGTTCATATATTACGATACATAACAAAGGACAATCAATGTTAGAATTAACGAATTCAATACACACTTTAATATATTATTATTAATATTATTTAAACATTTATGGAAATAAATGTTGAATCGAATAAATTAGTGGGGCGCCCCAATCTAAAAGTACAACTTGATCTTGTCTTCAAGGGACCCTTTACAAAATGCGCATTCTTTTGGCAGCGATACATAATAGGTCACTAGGACCTCTCCAGTAATTTCGTCCACCCAAGGAATTCCTTCTGTAGCTCTGTTACTTTCAAGGCTGGAAATGCATTTGGTGCAGTACATATGGCCACATTTTAAAGCCCACTCTTTGTCCCCGTCTTCGCATAACGTGCACAAAACCTAAAGTAAAAATATATACAAAATGAGAATTTTAAAAGTTTTAAACAAACAACTTTTAAACAAACAATTTTTTCACCCTTTTCATTTCTTCCATCATTGGGCCGCACCGCTGAGCAATTTCCTGCTTTAGTGCAAGGGTCGTCAGTTCAGCAGCCTTTTCTTTGACCCTGTCGCCAAGTCGTTGCTCCCGAATTTGTAGTTGCTTAATAAGTTTCAGGAGATTGTGAACGTCTTGCTCACGACAAATATTTCTTAAATTTCTGCTCTCCCTAATCGCAGATCCTAAACTTTTCCGGATTTTCTCGTGGAGATCTTTAACAGATTCGAGAACTTTGACATTGATGGGGCGCCCCAAAAGATCACGAACATTTTTCAATAACTCCTCGAAATTTGACTTCATCTGCCAGAAAACTGAAGCTGAGGCTTTGGCATTAGCACATCTCAAAGTCAACTTATTTGAATAGTCAAAAATATCTTGTCGTATTTTCTTGAAATCCTCGTACTTGAAATGGAGAGTTTCTTTTTGCTCAGTTGAATTAAAGCTGCCTTCCTGTCGCTAAACAAAAATAAAGTACGAGTATTCATTACAGTGTTATAAATTCTCGAGAATCTCAACATAACATTCTCACTCTATTCAAGAAATACAAACAATCTCACCTTTTTACTATAATATCCCAAGTTCTTATCGTCCTTTCTGTACGAAATTATTTTCATGTTGGGGTCGTGATGTCTATTCCACAAGTCAGCTATTTCGCCATTGTCCAGACTCGGTAACCCCAACGTTTCAACTTTCATCATCATTTCGTGGTAAAATGATGAGCTAGAATCCAAGCAGAGCTCAAGAGTTGATATCTTTAAAATTAAACAAATTTTAAAATTAGTGGGGCGCCCCAAATGATGTAAAGTATTTGAAAATTATATCTTACAGGGAAGCAGATGATAATGGAAGCCTTGTCGACCGCATTTTCATCTCGCTTGATCCAACAGCCTGACCTTCTTTGAATATCCTCTTGCACAGTCGGCTTATCTTGTATTCCTCGTCCCTTGACACTTTAGCTGTGCAACCCTGCCGGTGGTGGCCAATTTTGCCACACCGATAACAGCAGTCGGTTTCCATTTTGAAAATGTTAATTGGACATTGGAATTATTTTTTAGTGAAAATCCTCTGGAAGTACACTAATGAATTGTGAACTGCAAATATAAAATGCAATGTGCGCTTTTGAACAAACTTTATGACTGTCTCATATCGCTCCTTACTCCAGTAAAAAAAATCAGTCGGGCTTTTTGCTGATCGAGAGCAAAGCCCGAGCCCGACTCAAGAAAAGCCCGCCCAGGCCCGACCCGACTCATGGGCTCAACTCAAAAGCCCGGGCCCGCCCAAGCCCTACTCGTGTAAAGCCCGCCCAGGCCCGGCCCGACTCAAACGCCAAACTCAAAAGCCCGGCCCGCCCAAAGCCCGTTGGGCCTGGGCGGGCTCGGGCTAGCCCGATTAAAGCCCAAGCCCGACTCACCTCTACTAGTCGGCCTCAGTAGTTGGACCTTGGCATTCAACGAAGGTCATATTTTCTTCCAGTTTGAACTTTCACAAGTTCAGTTGCTGTTCATAATCGTAACAACTATATGTAAATATTTAAATCATAACTATTTAGATAGATATAATTAATTCTGATAGTGTCGCTGTTGATTGGAATAAAATCAGATTAATAATAGAATGTTCTCTGATTTTACAGGTCTCCGATTTTCACAATAACGCTACTGATTGAGTTGGAGCAGTCCGATAACAAAACAAATTTTCCAGGTAATCAATTCTACGAGATATTTACTCCAGCAAATTCAATTTTTGGATAACTCTTTGAAAATTAGTTACATATTTGTCTTTGATTTATTTAGATTAATTCATTTGTGTCGTTCACGTGTCATTTCCTACATTTTTAATTGAAGACTTAAAAAAATATTATTCAGTAACGTTGTCCATTGATTAGGGGACTGAAGATCTGGCAACGATTCATTAACTTTTAGCTTCTCGTTCTTTTTCTAAGGTGAGGTAAAAAAAACTATGGTTACAGTTACACCTTAGTATGCATTCACCCCCACTCCTTCTAAAACTTTGACCGCGCCCTACAGCCAAGGGGGTGCGTTTTAGATAAAAAAAATAAAGAGACCGAAAAATCAATTACGGACCTAATCTAGTGCTATTGAAAGGGATTTTTCGATATGACATCCCAGAAAAAAGTTTTGATGGTGGTGAATGGTTGCGTTTCACAGTTTGAGTATGAAGGATGCTACCTACATAGCTGGGGTATCTAAATTTATGGAAGATCGCCCCCACTTTACTATAACCGGAAAGAAGAATTGGGTCGATTAGTTGAGAAACCACCGACTTTTCCCTATAATGAAAATTATCGGGTGGTTGCTATATAGTAAATATATAGTTACACCGTCGCTATGGAGTATTTATGTATAGGCTTAGCCCGAGTCAGGGCTTAAGGAATCGTCATGTCCGTCCGTGAACACGATTGACTTGCAATTTTTCCATATGCATATTGGACAAAGTTTGGAAACGAGTTCGAAGGTGGGCGAAATCGGTCAAATTGTTGACCCGTGGAGGTATAGCAATAGTTATGAGTGACAATAATGAAAACCGGAATCACCTCACACACCCATAATTTTGATTTGGATAAGATTGTCAGCGTTTGTAGAGCTGATTTTTCTTAGTCCAACGGTCGAAGTCCGGCGTTTCTACTCCACCCCCTCGCGGAGTGGGAGGAGCTTAAACTTGAAAAAATCGCTCTAGTCTGCGATTTTTAGCTCAATGGTGAGTCAATATTTTTGAATGCGGTTTTCGCCAAACGTTTCCTAATTTTTTTCCCTACAACCCTTTTCGAGCGTTTTTTCAAATTCTTAAAATGGATTTCACAATTTTGGACTTGGGGCATTTTTCAAGATTTCTCACTTTTTTGAAATGAAGAGAACTTGTGCAGAAACCATATTAAATAATGCTAAACATCATATAATGGCGATATTTCATGGTTTAGGGTTCCACCAGGTCTGAGATGTGCGCGATAACACGAATCCGAAATTCTCCAGAATTTAACGGCAATAGAATAGACAAAAACTCAAAAATGTTTTTGTCTCTGGAATATCAGGAAGTGGTCATATACCAAACAAAGTATATAAATTCTGATTACTCAAGCGGAGACCTTTCCAATGGTATCTCATATGACCCCACATATGGGGTTATATAAGATTTGACCTTTCCCAATTTTTATTAAAAAACCGTGCCATTCGTTTCGCAAACCTATAAAAATGCTCGAAAAGGGTTGTAGGGAAAAAAATTAGGAAACGTTTGGCGAAAACCTCATTCACAAATATTGACCCACCTTTGAGCTAAAAATCGCAGACTAGAGCGATTTTTTCAACTTTAAGCTCCTCTCACTCCGCGAGGGGGTGGAGTAGAAACGCCGGACTTCGACCGTTGGACTCAGAAAAATCAGCTCTACAAACGCTGAGAATCTTATCCAAATCAAAATTATGGGTGTGTGAGGTGATTCCGGTTTTCATTATTGTCACTCTTATAGCAATTGATGCTATGCACCAGATTTCAAAATTGTCATATAAAGCTAAAATTTAGCAGATTGTGGCTCCTATGGAAGAATATGAATTCGGATTGTAAAAATTTTCATCTGGAGAGACCTTATCGGGTGACCCATACCAATTTTTCAAAATCATCAAATCGAGGTGTAATTTAGTACAACGGTTTTTAGTCGCACCTAATGGAAGAATATGAGTTGGAATAGGGAAAATATTTATGTGGAGAGACCTTTGAAGTCGCTAATTGTCCCCAATAGTTATATATAGCTTTACTTTTACACATTAGTCAAAGCGCAAATTTAAGTGGGTTAGGCATATCGAAACTTGATATCTTTCAACTGACACTTTTGAAACGTATGCTGTAAATTTGAACGAATTAAAACCTAACGGGGCAAATATCGTGCAATAATGGTTATCTTCTATCTTTGCTTTTAAAATTTCAAGGCAGAAAAAGAATTAAATAAAATATATCTTGAAAAAGTAAAAATTTCTAAGGTGAGGAAGTACACTTAAAAGTACTAAACAAGCTCCCCACACCTCCACCCCTCCGCCACCCAGATAATTTTATTTCGCCTGGGCTGTCTATTGCATGCAAAAAATATCGACAGTAATGTTTTGGCGTCACGTAAGAAAAAAGGATTAGAATTCATTTATTGGTCCAAAGCTAACTTTTCAATTGGTTAATATCCACCTCAACATTGCTGGGTGCTAAGATTCCAAAGAGGTGACAAGGAAGGTAAAAAGCGAAACTGTGAAGCAACTAATCGATGAAAAGATTTCAGCGTCCGACTTGAAACAAAAAATGATTGAAGAGCAGGAAATGAGAATTAAGGAGCAGAATTATGAACTGCAAGAGATTCAAAAGGCCAGTGTACAATTTGCTGCTTTTCTCAAGCACAATGCCATCACTCCCTATAACGACGCCATGCTGGACTACCTGGAATATCTTATTTCTGTGGAGAAGGAAAAGATTAAAGTTGGTGGGACGGATAAAATGCTTCAAGAAATGGAATCTTCTCGAGCTTCCTACATGCAGCAGGTAAAAATTTTGGATGAAGCCATGGATGGGGGAGAAAATAAGGATATTTTGAAGCCACAAGGAGTGGATGAGTTTGTACAAATTGAAAAACTATGGTAGATCTGTCTTCTATTCGTTGAAGGCCGGAACAAGTAGTGGTGCCAACGTTTTTCAGTATCGGGAAGTTTCGAGCAGGTATAAACCACCTGTGCGAGCTAAGAAGAAAAATTTCGTAATCAGATTTGTGGATTGGCTTCTATCTTAAGTATCAAACATTGATCTAGACTTTACTAGTTTCTTGATCATATTGTTTAAAATTATTTAACTAAAATATATCCTTAAAAAATCCTATAAAAATCTTATTAATTTTCTAATTAAAAAACCCACGACACTGTTTAATCGGAATTACTTAAACTGGAAAATGACGCATGATTGTATTTAATTAATATACTAATTAACATGTGCTTAGATTTAAATTAATTTTTCCTTCGTTAATGTACTCCTTTATATACAATTAAATGGTGGAAGGTATATATAATTCTTCTAAATTCACAACTTAGATTTCAACAGTCTGTAATACATGCATACATGCTAATTTACCGACTTAATTAATCCTATAATCGAAATACTACTCCGGCATATGCATGTGTCAAATAGTGATAATAGGTCCTCTCCAAGCTCTAAAAAAGATCTGATTTTTCTGCTCATATTGTTTAAAATTATTTAACTAAAATATATCCTTAAAAAATCCTATAAAAATCTTATTAATTTTCTAATTAAAAAACCCACGACACTGTTTAATCGGAATTACTTAAACTGGAAAATGACGCATGATTGTATTTAATTAATATACTAATTAACATGTGCTTAGATTTAAATTAATTTTTCCTTCGTTAATGTACTCCTTTATATACAATTAAATGGTGGAAGGTATATATAATTCTTCTAAATTCACAACTTAGATTTCAACAGTCTGTAATACATGCATACATGCTAATTTACCGACTTAATTAATCCTATAATCGAAATACTACTCCGGCATATGCATGTGTCAAATAGTGATAATAGGTCCTCTCCAAGCTCTAAAAAAGATCTGATTTTTCTGCTCATCGCTCATTCTGATCATTTCTGCTCGGCTGTGCGCATGCGATTTCGCTCAAAATCAGATTTTCTTGCTCAACAAAAAAATCGAGTTTTGGGTTGATTTTTTCTCTCATAATCCTGCTCATTCTGCTCCACATCATCACATCAGTTGTTTGTTTACTTCAATTTTTCGTTTAAAAATTAAGTAAAGTTCTCTAAAACATATTCTTTATCATTGTGGGTCCCAAGACCCAGGTTAAGCGTACCAGTGTCGAAAAAGTTGCAAATCCCGTAATTTGTTGTTACAAAAGTAGCGTCGTGGAGGTAGGCGGCCGAAAAATATTTCGCTGGACAGCACAAGTAAAAATTGACATGGCATATTATGTCGTCAACAATAACACCTCATTTAAGGTAAGGTAAATGATAATTTGTTATCCACATGTAATTTTGAATAACCAAATCCTTAATCGCAAAAAAATATTTTAGCAGGTGACCAACCGCACTGAATTCCTTCGTCGTCTCCAAGATGCTTTGCCCTTAATTGCGAAGAAAGTCAAATAAAAAATGGATTTGACAGATTTCTTAAAACGTACACAGAGACTAAAGAGAAGTTAAACCAGTCGGGTTTTGGGATTGACCCTGAGAAAGACGAAACTCTGGACAAAAGTGCGGTCATTTCTTTCAATTACATCAAATCTAATGATTTTCAATGCGATAAAATTACGATTCAGCGAAGCCGAAATAAAAATACTGGAACTCAAAATTAAATTGGAAACTATTACATCTAAATTTTAAGCATTTGATTTATACATAAAATTGTTTATTGCTGCTACATAAAATGAATTATTTGAGATAATGCTGTTCGTTAATTCTCCTGCAATATTTTCACAATGCCTGTTGTTGAAACCCATTAAAAGCCATGTTAAAGCCATGCACAATGATAAAATTTCTCAAATTGAATTTAGAACCATTAAAATGATAAACAAATAATTGAACTTCCCACAAATAAAGATCACGATTCTCAAGAATTATGATCGATAAAAAAAGTGGTACGTTCAAGGTTTGAGCAGAAAAATCTGATTTTTTATTTTTCTGTTCATTGCTCATTTCGCTCATTTTTTGAGCCTTGAGAGGACCTAATATTTAACTAAAGGTTACATATAAATGAAACAGTGAAATGAACGTACAAATAATCAAAAGGGAGGCAACATGTGCAAAATACGCTGAAAAATGCCGCGCGAAATTCAATTTCGCGGATTTATTTTCGCGCAAAGAAAACATTTAAGCAACAGCCCAATTCGTATCCCATTATATCTATCACAACACATTCAATTATTGTGAATTTGAGAGGGGTTGAATTTTATCCCATAATAGAAATGCAGTGTTGGGGATGTTGTTTCCAATTTTTAAAGGGTTTGTGTGAGTTTAGTTTTTAAAGTCGTGATGGTATGGACTTGTGCTTTTATGTGACTTGAAGACGATGGATAATTGTGGGCGTAAGTATGTGTGACAATGAGGCAGAGTGAGACTTGGAAATATTTAGCTGTACCACAATTTTATGTCTGATTTGAGTGAGTACTTGAGTTACACTGCATGAACATTACAAAATTACACAATATTACAAAATATTACAATATTACAAAATTGACAAATGTACCAAAATGTAGAGAATGGAAGAAACTCCCACCAATTAGGGAGGTATCATATAAATAGAATTGAATAATGACCCTTAAGGCATGTACATACTTGACATTGACTCGCTGTATTAATTAATGCATACAAAAAGGTTAGTTTTGAACTTAAAAGGAAAAGATTAAAATAATATTTAGTCAGAAATAGATAAGTCGATACTAAGAATGATAAAATTAAACCGAAGGTAAGAAGGGTCTAGTCACGTACAAACTTATGAAACTGAGTTAATTTTACATGAATCTCAACATGCAGATAAAAACGTTTGTGTAATGACGCATGTATAACGTACACTAAAAAACGTGTAGACGCCAGGACTGCATAAGCTACATATATAAGTGTGTAAGTATGTATATGTATAGAGATATCACACTAATTTAGGTTAGTAGCGGTAGCTTGTAAAAAAGTGGTAGTAGAAAATTTACCAGAAATCTGAAAATCATAATCACACCATTAAAGACATGTTACCAATTTCAAAATTACTTATGTATAAATGAACTCTAAACAATTTGTTAAGCAAATTATACTTAATACAGAGTAAGAATAACCTGAAAAATGAATTAAACCATACATTCATGTACCATGCATGAATCAATTCTGAAAAATAAAATACAGATAGCTAACTTGAAAAATGGTGATGTGGATTTTATTTAGTTTAGTTTAGTTTATTTAAAATTCAGAGAATACTTTCCCAAAATGGTAGAATTGCCGGTATTCATGACGGCTTTATACCCGAGGTGAACTCTGTTTCGCAAAATATCTCGGTAAATTTGTCATATTTTCGAAGGAATGCTTCAAAAAATCCTTTGGGAACTTTTTGTGAATGATGCAATATAAAAAGCCTTCTACGTATTATCGTCGCAAATTATTTTTCGCGAACTTTTCGTCAAATGAATTTTCACTCTTCCTCTGATTATCTGGTTACTATTTTCATTTAAAATACGTATGCATTTCCTCGAACCTATTTCGCATACACCACATACTTATTTGAGGAGTTGTATTTACAGGTACAAGACCCACATTATCTTTTACAGAGGGATCCAGCATGAAATAATTCCCAAATCGTAAGTTAGGAGTGAATAAATAAGAATGCCGGAGTTTCTGGCGTGCATGTATCCATCCACACACGTGCATACAATGTATTCACAACAGGTATGTGAAACCTCACACACATGTTTTTTATTACAAGTACATCAATATGTACAACACAATGCATGCAAATAAGCAACGTTTTTTCGTTCGTAAAAAATCACCCAATGAGTTATGCATTCATCTCCGTGTCGTTTAGATTCACCCGAAACACATCCACGTCTTCCATTCAGTCGTTCACAGATCACATATACATATTTACATATTTGTGCAAATCAAGCAACGATTTATTTAATCGTTCGTATAAAATCATTGCTGCGGTTAGTAGTTGTTCCAATTTGTACTTGTACCAACAGACAAATAAATAAATAAGTAAATTATTCTCACTTTCTGTGCAATTCTACATTGAAATTTTATTTTTGAAATCTCGAAATTTGTGGCATGACAGGAAAATCTGTCCCCTTAATAAACGACACGTCCGATGCGACCCTACTAATTTTGAGGGGGACAGTTTGTTCAAGTGGGTGTGCCGCGGGTAGTATTTGTGTCTGCCCAGACTCAGAATATAAGTGGGAAAAAGAAGCTGCACTTCTTAATAATATTGGGCAAAAGGTTAGCCTAAAATTTAGGCCCTAAATTATACAATTGTAAATCTTTACACTCTTAAAAATGATGTCACCCTTTTGAAAAATTAACCTACATTTAATCCTAAAATGAAGTAAACTTTGCAAAATCCAGAGTAACTTTACATAAGTTCATCAAGAACAAATTTCACGTACTCTGAATTTCGCAAACGCAAAACAAAAATTTGTCAAATTAACACAGCCGGTGTCAATATATGACTTAACCGCCTTGGTTACAATTGTGATTCCGAGTGATAATGAAATTTTTCCGTCCGGTCATAACATTATAACCGGTATCAAAATCGTCATAATTCAACATTTTAACCAAAGCGTGTAAGTCATATATTGACACCATAGCTCGCAATAAATTTGTCCCTGGTCCCTGGTCCCCGAGGGACCATCTAAAAAAATAGTCCATGGTTCCTGGTCCACGGGGGACCATCTAAAAAAATGATCCCTGGTCCCCGGGGACCATCGAAAAAAATGGCCCCCTGGTCCTTGGTCCCCAGCGACCATCGAAAAAAATGGTCCCTAGTCCCTGGTCCCCCGAGGGACCAGGGACCACCATGTTAAACTCTCATTTGGGGACCAGGGACCATGGTCCCCTAAATGGTCCCTGGTCCCCCAGCTCATGATCCCTGGTCCTGGTCCCCCAGCTCATGGTCCCTGGTCCCTGGTCCCCGGGGGACCATCTAAAAAATGGTCCCTGCTCCCTGGTCCCTGGGGGACCATCGAAAAAAATGGTCCCTAGACCCTGGTCCCCGGGGGACCATCGAAAAAATGGTCCCTGGTCCCCGAGGGACCAGGGACCAAATGGTCCCCCGGGGGACCATACTGGTCCCCTGCGAGCTATGATTGACACCGGCGATGTTGATTTGACAAATTTTTTGTTTTGAGTGCACAATTTAACTTGCTTAATTTAGGATTTAAAGCGAATTTATTTTTCAAAAGGATAACATTATTTTTAAGAGTGTAGCAAATTTTCATAAATAATTAAATTATTTCTTAGTACACGATTGGTTCCGGGAAAAATTTGGACAACTTGGATCTCGAGAAATACGGGCAGTTTTTAATATTCCACCTCCACGCGGACGTAGCTGACGTTCAATGTCAAATTGAATGTGATACGGATGGAAACTTTTGGTTCCACGGTTTAGTAAGTAAAATTAAATCCGCCACAATTTGTACACTCTTAAAAAAATAATATTACCCTTACAAAATTAAATTCACTCCAAATTCTAAATTAATGTGACATCGTATGTGGGTTTTGAGTTTGTTTAGGATCAATTCATTTTTGAAAGGGTAACATAATTTTTAAGTGTGCAAATACTTATTTCACCACAATTTAATTTCAATCAATTACAATTTGTCAGGGATACTCAGATACTTTCGTCAATGGGAAATTATTAATACCAAACTTTATAAAGTTTCCTGAAGAACAAAGATTCGGGAGGGTTCGGAATCACAGAGTTAAAAACAAATGGGAAGATTCCCCCGTCAAATTAAAATCTGGGGATGTATTCTACTTTTCCTACGTTTGTTCGCACTTATGGGACCACAAATTAGCTTCATCATGCGGAAGAAGGCTATACCGCAAAAACCCGGTGGGGAAAGACTACACCGTTTTTAAATTTGAGGTGAGGATCGAACCACTTACAATGCAAGTCTTTTACGTGTACAACTCAGATCTGGTTGGGACCAATTTTATTTTGTTCAGCACAAAAAATAAGCATACCCATATTTTTTCATTTTTCATAATGCGCTAATTTGAGCGAGGGGCGCGGATTTTAAAACATTTTTCAGCCAAAACCTCGCTTTTTAGCGCGAATCGAAAAATTCGAAATCATGTCTCTTCAGAATGACTTACCTAAGTTATGAAAAATCCACATGGATTATTTTTTGAAAAATTAAAAATTTGAAGGAGTTAATAATTTTAATGAATTTCAAAAACCGGCAAAAAATTTTGAAAATCAAATTTCGAGACAATTTGATTTTTCGTAAGTCAAGTAAGTCATTCTGAAGGACATGATTTCGAATTTTTCGATTCGCGTTAAAATTCGAAAATTTACAGAATCTTTAAAAAGCGAGGTTTTGGCTGAAAAATGTTTTAAAATTCGCGCCCCGCGCTCAAATTAGCGCATTATGAAAAATGAAAAAATATAGGTATGCTTATTTTTTGTGCTGAACAAAATAAAATTGGTCCCAACCATATCTGAGTTGTACACGTAGAAGACTTGCATTGTTAGGATAAATCATTCGTAATGGTTCAAAATTAGCCAGAATGTGCGATTTTGTTTACTAATTTAGTTTTTGGCGAACACTTTCGACTTGAAATAAATTATTCGCAATGAAACGGTGCAGCGCTATATAGATCAGAAGATGCGATTTTTTGCATATAGTTTTTGACCAAAACTTTTCCCAAAGAATGGTAAAAATTCCAATGTTAAAAATTTGGAATCAATTGGTTAAGGTAGCGTAGGACTAGATGCCGCATCGCCAAAATTGTCAAAAACAACACATTTTTAATCATTTCTCGGCTCTGAATTATTTTAAAATTCTGGACTACGAATTTGTACAACATATCGTGGCCAGTTTTTTAATATGCTCTCCAGATTTTGATAGAGGAGATCTCAAGTTTAACAAACTTTCGGAAAATTTAGACCTCATCGAAACAACTCACCGTCATTCTACTACTTACTACAATTTTGTCTACGCAAATTAAAAAAAACAAATTTACCGATGCTGAGAAATGATTAAAAATGTGTTAATTTTGACAATTTTCATAGTGAGCCAACCAGTTCAACGTTATTAAATCTGTTTGGGAGTGTGCAAAAAAACGTGATAGATTTGCAGGGGTTCAGGGTCAAGGCATCCTTAATATGTATCTTTCCCATGCTAATTATAACATATCCATATTTGTGATCACACTGCGGGTGCAAAGCTCTAAATTTAAAAAAAAACGATAGTCCACGGCTCTTCAACAAGGCATAATCCTAATTCTTATCCTCCCTTACAGAGACCGACTCCGACTAAATCTGTGCAGAATCTCAACGACGAGGATTCCTCTCCCCCAAATCACCCCATTTTCAACAACCACATCATCCTCTCAAAAATCCTACAAAACCTGGTCTCCTCAACCTCCAATATTCTCACCAATCAAACCGATCTCCTCAACTGTCGCCTCGTCTCCACCCCATTTGACCACGTGGCGCGAAAAGTCCTCCGGAAAGACGTCGTATTGCAGTTCATCGTAGATATCGACTCATTATACACCCACGACGCAAACCACTTTTTGAATCGACTTTATTGGAAAACCCATCGCTTCAAACACCTCAAATTTGACGCCATGAACATTTCCATCTACAAAAAGCGTTTCCATCATTGGGTCAACTATTCTGAAAAACCAAAACCTACAGAGATAAAATTCAACCAAGATTTCTCCTCCTTTATAAATCACCCGGATTTCCACCCCCTCAAATCACTCAAGATTGATGTCGATTACCTCTCACCGATTTCCACCCTCCTCGTAAAATGTTACCTTTCCCTGGAACAGCTCGACATCCAGGTTAAGCTGGACTGGATTCTGGACGAGAAAAAGGCTACATTTCCAGAAAATCTAAAGTTCCCAAAATTGAGAAAGTTAACCCTCGATTTTTCATATGTTCAGAATAACGAGATCGTATCGAATTCTGTGTCCCTCGCGGGGCTTATCTTAGCGTCAAATAAGGTTGAGGAACTGGTTATAAAAAAATATACAAGACTCCCTGCCGACTTTGGCTCTTTTAAAAATCTGAAAAAAATAACCATTTCCGGTCGACGCATGTTACACTGGGAAACTTTCAATTTTCACGAATTTCTCTACCAATTCATTACCTTGCCGATCGGGCAGCTATGTTCGTTAAAAGTATTCCTCCCAGCGAATGATGAGCTATCCACTCCAGTCAAAATAGAGGAATCATTATTCCAGCTGGTAGAAAACCATCGGCGAACTTTGCAAAGTTTGGAAATCTCTTTAAATTCCAGATATTTTGAGAACCCGATAACACTTCCGAGATGTATGCCAAATTTGAAAAAGTTGTGGATAATAATTCCTGACGGAGATTTGAAACAGGCGGGTTTCATTGTTGGGGTCAGATTAAGTAGTCAAAAGGGTGAAAAGTCTCATCAAAATGTAGATGATTCAATGAAGATGCCTCTCGTTCTTCGAGATGGACGTGAATGTACTCATAGATTTTGTCCGAGTTGTGGCGATGATACTTTACTTTATGGAAAATGGCATCGGAACGAAGTAGGATTTTGATAAGTATTTTATTATTTGTTCAAGACTTGGAAATTTTTTGGACTTTAAAAAAATGTATTTTTTACTTGTTTTTTTTTACATGAAATAAATCGTTTGATTTTATACAGTAATCCTTCCGTCATGCAGGGTGCTCAAGATCATTATAAAACATTATTATAAAACCAGCGTATAGCCCGGCCAAGGCCGGGTTCTAGAGTTCCAGTGGGGGGTGTGCGCACAGCGAAAAAACCGTCATACTATAATTCCCAGTGGAGACTTTGTCATACTAAATACATACATCAGAGTGAAGGTTTGCCCAAATCATACTGCATTTTAATTAACCTGGTCAAAGTACAATTTGATTTCCCCTGTGAGAGTAGTTGAACAGCTAATTACTTAAATTCCCGTCGCGTGGGAGTAACTGCATAGCTAACTATTGAAATTCCCACGCTTCACGCTCCCGTTAAGTTCCATAAACCCCGTTAACTTCTACAATTAACGCCAAGCTATTGACGGATTCGGATTCAGCGTCAAAAATACATTCGAATTGATATGCGACATCACGAATAAGCCATATTTGGACACCACGGTCACGGCAAGGTCACAGGGGCCTCGGAGGTCAAAACCATTGAAGGCGTTGCATTTAGCGTCAAAAATACATTCGAATTGATATGCCACTCGCTGTGGGTGGAGTTTCTCAAACTAAAATAATTAATTAATAGTGTTTATCAAGATCACTTATCATGATAACCACTATTGATGAGTGATGTTACATCACTGATGTATGTATGTGGTGTAGCATGTACATTGGTGTTCATGCATGCATTCATTCATGCAGTGCAGTGCAGTACAGTGCACGCATGCAGTGGTTATTCCGCTTCCTTCTTTGTCTTCTCTACGGGGCAACTCGATCTTGGACTCGATCACTCACTCAGGCAGGCAGGCAGGCAGCGACTTAACACTAACGCTTTATTAGAGTAGATCATTATTTGTAGATCTATGTAACCTATGCCTAGGGCTCAACTGGCATTCCTGCACCTGGCATAATTTTTATTCAGTGTGTCCTCCTTATTTTTGCTGCAAAATCGGTCGTTTAATAGGACATATACGAGGTGACCATGTCATGATGAGTTTCAATTTTGTGATCATTACCATAAATATGTGGAAGATGAATGTTCACAGATGGCTCAAAAACTTAGCTGATATAGCCGCCTAAGTATGCAGTGACCTTTTTTCGAACTTGGAACAAGCGTTTGCCCCCACGACTGGATACTGTCCCCACCTCCATGTGCTTGTCAAAAGTTGTCCTTCTTATCTGTGCAAACTTCGCAATATTTTTGTCTCTCTTTACTTTCTTTACTCTCTGTCTGGTATCTAATGTACCTAAGTCGTAAGTATGTATGTATGTATTTAACAAGAAATTGTGGCCGTCTACTTAAAATTTCCTTAAGTTTAATCAATATAATTTATTCATTTTCCATTTTGTAACGGATTTTTTTTAGCGCAAGGAGTAAGTACATACTTATATGATGAACGACAAATTACTGGAGGAGGTTCGATCGCTGACTCAGGAGGTGTCAAAAATTAAAGCTAAGACGGACAACTTAGAAAACAGGATTGAGGCTGACGTGGTACGTGAGATGGCGGCTGTCCGTGAGGAACTTAAGGAACAACAGCAACGTGTGATAAGGATGTCGAATCTAGTCTTGATGGGAGTCCCTGAATCTGGCGAGGGGCTTAAGTTAGCAGTAAAATTAATGGGTGTCATTTATCCTACCTGGACAGGTCCATTAATTGATAACAGAATTGGTGTCCAGAATAAGAAGGGGCCAAGGCCGTTACGGGTTCCCCTTCCGTCTGCGTCTGAGAGAGCAAAAGCACTTAGGGAGTGCGTTAAACTTAAGGACCACCGTGAGTTTGATAAGATATCGGTCAGAAGGGATTTGACAAAGATTCAGCAGCAAGAAATTCAACTGAGGTCACCAGTTGGAACAAGGTCGGCAAAGAAAAGGAAGCGTCAGCAGACTGGTGAAGACCACTCGAGTAAAAAACATATGACTGGTATTGACGATATGGATCTCGGATCTACTCAATGATTAAAGGGGGCGATCGGACATGGCTCATCCCGGCGAATCACACTTGGGCACCAAAATGTTCGATCGTATCGGGACAAATTTCATAACATTACTCAACTCATTTCTTGTTTTAATCTTGATATATTATGTTTATCAGAAACTTGGTTCAAAAGTGATACTGAATACTGCATTCCGAGAGATTACAGTTTATACAGAGAAGACAGACCGACCAGAGGAGGAGGCGTAGCGGTGTTGCTTCACAAAAAATTTAGTGCTTATCGAGCAATTGTAAAAGATGTAGAGTGGTTCAGTGATTCAACTATGGAATACATATGTGTATCTGTGCAACAAGGTCACCATAAATCGTTTGTAATATGTTGTTTTTATATTCCAGAACCGAAGGCGAATGATTTAAAAAATTTTGATCTATTATTGTGTTACTTGTTAAAATCGAAAAAGGATGTGTTTATTCTTGGAGATCTTAATATAAACTTGTTGGAACAGAGTAAGTTAACCAAAAAATTTGTCGACACTCTTCGCAGACACTCGTTGTTGCAAATTGTAAAGTCAACAACCAGAGAGGATAATTTATTAGATGTGATAATTATTCATAAAAGCCAGTCTGTAAATCTTGCGTTATGTGAAGTATCTGACCAAGTTATATCGGACCATCGTTTTAGTTATTGTAAGTACATTTTTCCTAGTAAAGTGGTTGAAAGGGAGAAGCGTGTCAATGCACGTAATTTTGATAAAATTAATTATGAGAGTTTTGTAAATATGTTAAGTAATGATGAACTGTACTGTGATGATAATTTAGCTGAAAAATTTATTAATGTAATGACAATTGTGTTTGACTTAGAGGTTCCGTTTGTGGAAAAGAAAGTTCGCGAGGGAAAGTTATTATTTGTTTCTGGTCATACAAAGAGTTTGATAATTGAGAGGAATAATTTATATAAGGAATGGAGGGTGAATAATTCTAGTTATGTACATCAGAAATATAGATTTGTTGAAAAACAGATCAGATCAAGTATTAAGAGAGATATGAAAATGTACACTTCAAAAATGGTAGGAAAAGTTGGTGTTTGGAAAACTTTGAAGAATTTTGGGTTGACGTTTGGTAAAGTGCAGGGACAAATTGGGCCAGATATAGATCTCGATGAAATTAATAATTACTATTGTACGATGGGTTTTCCCCCTGGGAAAGCACATCTTGACTCTTTATCTAGTAACCCTACAGTATTATATAATGATGAAGTGTATTTTAAAGTTAAATCTGTTTTCATGTATGAATTGCAAGCATGGAAGGGGATGAAAGATAAGAATAACAGAGCTGACGACACTACTGGTATATCCAAATTCATGTTAAAGTTAGTTATGCCAATTCCTTCTGTTCAACAAGCTGTGTTAAATGTTATAAATGAATCATTTAGTTCTGGTGTAATTCCCGATATCATTAAATGCTCCAGGATTGTACCGATTCCCAAAATATCCAACGCCACACAACCGTCTGACTTTCGCCCTATTGCTGTAAATGCGAATCTGATGCTTATCATGGAAAGGATTTACAGTAGTAGATTGGAGAAATATATTGACTCTAATAAGTTCCTTTCAAAATATCAATTTGGCTTTCGGAAAGGTCACAGCACCGAGCAGTTGATTCTAGCAATGAGTGATTTGGTTAAAATAAATGTTGATAAGGGGTTAATTTGTGCTATGATAAGTATTGACTATGCCAAAGCATTCGATTCTTTGCCCAGAGAAAAACTCTTATATAAATTGGCGACACAGTTTAAAATATCTGATCATTGGCTCAGGAGTTATTTTTGTAACAGGAAGCAATTTGTTTATCAGAATGGTAGAAAATCGACGGTACAAAAGACATTATTGGGAGTTTTGGCTGGATCTATTTTAGGTCCAAGACTTTTTTCTCTTTTTTTGAATGATATGTGCTTTGTGATAAAAAATGGTACGTTATTTTGTTACGCTGATGATGGGACTATTATTTTTATTCGTAACATTAACCAACTGGCAGAGTTGCAGTTGCGTATAAACAGTGATATGGCTGCTCTTGTTAGTTATGCGCAGGTAAATGACATGACGCTACACCCAGGCAAAACTAAGTTATTGATGTTATCGAGTAAACCGAAATTAAAATACTTGGGTGATTTTAATGTACAAATTTGCGATGTTACAATTAATCCATCCGATTGTTTAAGATGTGTTGGTTATATATTTGATTCGACTCTAAGTAGCAAATTACATATAAATGATATGGCAAAGAAATGTTTTTATCGTATTCGCTGTCTGTATAGTATTAGGCAATATTTTACACAAGATGTATTGGTCAAGGTTGGAGCAGCGTTGGTGCTATCTGTTCTAAGTTATATGTCCAGTGTGTGGGGTGGTACACATTCCACACACTTAAAGATAGCGGAGAAAGTAATTCGGTCTCTAGCTCGGTTAGTGTTATGCAAAAGAAAGTATGATAGCGTGGCTAGGGACATCCACAATGACCTAGGATGGATCTTTCCAAAAGATATGAGTGATTACAGACTACTATGTATTATGTATAAAATTATTAAACTCGATAATGTCCCGTATTTTAGTAATTACTTTGATAAGCTAAGGTCTGTGCATAATCACAATACTCGCCTCTCTGAGGATGGGCACAGATCAACTACTACTGCTAAGACATATTTTGGGTTATCAACATTTAATTTTAGAGGTGTTCAACTTTGAAATAATTTAAGTACTGAATTGAAACGAGAGACAAACTATGAGTTATTTAAGAAAAATTTGAAAGAGGCACTATTACTCTCAAAATAGTATGATGAATTTTATTTATTTATGATGATTGGTATGAAATACGGCAAATGGTTCAAGTATTTCCTGCTTGTGCGGGGTTTGGCCATAGTAAACTTTTTGTAATTTATGACTTTATAATGTGACTCAATAAACTATATATATGAGTAACTCATACCCTAAAACTTTAACTGAATAAGACACCCGTTAAATTAAATGGTAAAGATGCATCTATTCCACACTGCATTTACTGTATTCCACTTGGTGGGTGGTCGTGCATCATGTGTTTCTGCTAAACATCATGCTATTCTAAAGATAGATACTTAGCCAACTCGATAAGCATACACATATGCATATATGCTAATGGAGTCGATAAGGAGATATCACATCCTTAATACTGCTCCCCGATTGAATATGTATGAGATTACACATTTTACGAAATATTTTCGAGCACACTGTATTCTCAGTGATTATCTGTAGTTCGTTACTACGCACTCGAGTCATGTTACCATTAACAATCTGTTCGTGATACATATTTCAGTTTGTAAAATGTGATCCATCTTGAATTTCGTTCTTGGTTAAAATTTAAAAAAATATTTTAAATAGATACATACATTGTGACGAGTGAGACTAATACACATAATCCCGATACGATTTTATACATGTACATAAAGTACAACGGAAGCTTTCACTTTAAGCGAAACATAATTATTTAATCAGCTCAATAATTCGTCTTCAGCATAATTCGTAATTAACCGGTGGATATTTCGTTTTTAACGAAGTATTAAACTTTATTGAGGAATTTTCATGCAGCTAAAATTGAAACAGGTTTATAAAGTATTTTCATGCTCAAACGTATCAATCTGCATGTACATATTTACAGTGTTAAAAATCTGGTAGATTCAAATAGATACTCCGTGCTGGTATTGATTTCGTAATAACTTAATACCGGACTGGTAGTAATTTGTTCCTGAGTAGTAAATTTTTTCATTCATACAATATTACTGACCGTTAATTTCCGTTACTATGGTGCCGGTAGAGTCACATATGTACATATGTATGTGTGTATACACCTACTCCGGTTGGTAATTATTTAATACCAGTTTTCTACTACATAGTCGGAAACACTCAAGTGTCAATGACATATAGCCTTATTACTTTTGTAAATCTCAACTTAGCAATTTTTGATTTATTTTACCGAAAAGCCAGATAAATTTCAATTCAAAAACAATTTTTAGTCTTAAAATTTCCTCCTCCTGCGTCAATGCCACGCTAAAGACGAGACGACCACTCCTCGATGGAATTACGCACCGATTCCAGGGACATTTTGTGGCATTCCGGGGTCAGAAATTTTTTCCAAGCCTCCGCACTTCTACGGGGCTTAGAACACACCTTTGCCCCTAACTTTGACCATTTTTCATATTCCGGTGGTTCAAATCCATCAAGGATGATCACCAAGTCTGATTGGAGATAAAGACCGGAATTTGTTCTTTTAGCTACGCTTGGGTCATTTTTTGCACTATAAATTCGTGCTGAGTCCTGCTGAGAGGTCCCATCGATTCCATTGAATTGGATCTCACTTAGGGGATGTACCACGGACTCAAAAACATATTTTAAGAAATTTGATTCCCCCACCTCCCCCCAATTTTCAGCAAAATGTAGAGAAATTACCCCAATTAGCTCCCACCTGCCAAAATCATCAAAAAACCTGGATAATGTGACTTTCTGACCTTTTATCTATATCGGGGGATGTCTCTGACCGATTTGCGTAGATTAGGACAATTCGCTTGTTAAAAGATTTTTCCGATGTTAAAATCTCCTCATTTGTAAAAAGAATCCTGCTCACTTTTTTGGAGCGTACCACTTGAGGTGACTCCTGCACTTATTTAATCTGGTTTTCCTTTGGGGTACGATCAGGATGTGGCAAGTACCACATTTCAAAGCCTTAAGCCTGAGCTTCAATTTGAGCACTCATTGGATAATTTGCATCGACATTGTCAGCAGTGAGCCCGGTTTCCGTTGGAATTTCGTGAATTTCTTCGGATTCCAGGCTTGAGAGGCTTCATGATGGGTGTGGTCCTTGGAGGTTTTAAAAAAATTCTTCTTCGACTGTTCTTTGTCGATTCGGTCCCCATGAATGTTTTTATAGTCCGTTGGGCTAAATTAAAGTACACCCTTGACTTTTTCAGCACATGAAAAATTCACCGTTTTTCTTCGATTTTTTTGTGAAAAACTATCGCCGCCCGCTTCTCTTCAATTTCCTGTATATTTATCCAGATGTTCAAAAATTACAAAGTCCATAGTGAATCATAATGTAAATCGCATGGCGAATCTAATGCACTTATCAGATTTTAATTCTGCGGCGTAGTTTTTTAGCAATCGGCTGTTGACACTTGAGTGTTCCCGACTATGTATTGTACGTACACATTTACCAAGCAAAATATTCATATTTTGTTTTACATGTGTTAATATTTTTAAATTCTGTCTTTATAAGGAATATGTACCAATTCCTAATTGAAAAACGTGACAAGGCTGGTAACTTCGCAACAACTTTAAAATAAATTAAAGGTCTGATATAATTCCAAATTCACATTTAACGCGTTATTCTTAAGTTTTAGAATCGTATTTTAATTCCACTGCTATCTATTTCCAGATTTTCTGAAGAATAATCTATGTAATTCATATCCTAACTCAAACTCAACCAGTCCATGAAGTTCGTCATGTTTTCGTAATCTATTTTAATTACGTCCTAATTAAATAAAATGGTATTATATTTTCTCAAAGTTAATTAAGCGTGAGGGAACATCCATATATTACGTCATCATTTTCGTGGGTAGGTAGGTTGTTTAGGTCTTCCTATCTTTCCCATTTTAAAATTCCCTATCCCTTAATGTTTACGTTGGGCGATAAAATCGAAAAATTTTGATGACATAATATGTATATGGATGATATGGACCATCAAAGTGGTTGGGTAGGATAATATTTATCCAATGTTGCGTATAATTTTATACAGCCGTTGGAAACAGCTTTTACTCAACATTTATTAAATTTTACATAATTCTATTTAGCGTGTACGTCGTTATTATTCCAAAGGCGAAGTAATAATTTATTTAAGTTGTAACGTATAAAAACTTTGTTTTCTAAAATTCCAGATCACCACCAGGGACATTTTCAACTGACGGAGAGTCCTCCCACCAGTCACAATGGAAAACTATAAAAATTGGATAGCGGAGATTTTGTTCCGGTTAATTAGCTAAGACACCTTCCCATAATTATCCTCTCTTCACTGCATATAACTTATGTAGATTTATCGGATATATATTTTAATCTAGGATACCGTACATACATACTGTGCACACGGTACACACTTAAAAATAATGTTACGATTTGAGACACAAATCTAATCTGAATTCTACAATTAAGCAAAACATACTAAATCCAGAGTAACGTGAACTTGATATTAAGTAAAGTTTGCTCCGAATTTTGTATGGTTTGGTTAATTTGGAATCCATGGGCTTTATAAAAAAGTAGCATTATCTTTAAGAGTGTGGCAAGCATCTACCGTAAGCGATATTTGACGTAAACGAAAATTTCGCTAAATGCATTTGTAAAAATGTTCGAGAATACCATAACACAAATTTTGTATGTTCCCAAATCAATTTACATATTCATTGGGGGTAGGGATTCCAATCCCGGACGATTTTTTAAATCCCGGGAATCGGGAATCCCGGTTTTAGCCGTACAAAATCCCGGGAAATCCCGGGATTTTTTCCCAGAATTCAAAAATTACCTCATAACTTGAAATAAGTTAAATTTGGGTATACGAAAAAGTACAGAATATAAGCATATTTATAATACTTATGCACATGCATACTTGTGTTTTTTAGAGATCTGTGCATCCATAAGTATTATTATAACATATGGAATTTTCTGGCCTTCTCGAAATAAATATGATGGCAGTACAAATTAGCGATTATATAGTGGTGTGTCTGCTTGTAAATGTAAAAGTTCGGTGCAATGTGATAGTCTAATTTTCCGCCCTTTGTCTTGGGGAGGTGATAAGAAAAATTTTGAAAATTTCATTCCAGAAAACTTAAATAACTAATCAACGATTTGCTAGCATTTTAACCTGACCTGAAATGCATACATAAATTTACGTTTATTATTTGTGTACTATTATAAAAAACTACAATTGGACAATTCACAAATTTCAAGTTCAAATATATGTATGTATGAGCAACCTCGTTCATTCAGCCATCGACTAAAATTCGAAATTATATATTTCTAACATGTTAGCTTTTTTGAGCATAACTGATTTCAGATTCTATAATTATACCGAGGGTTAGGTTTATTTCTTCCTTCAAATTTAAATCGGACATCCAAATTAGAAAATTTTGAGTTTCATTTTGTATTGCAAATTTACTTGCGAACTATAAGATTAAGATATATCTACGACATATGAAGAAATTTGGATTTCCATGATGCTTTAATCTTGGAGTTGAGAATGAATTTTGACAGGTTATGCTCATCGAAACTTTTTCTTAGCACTAATATAACGAAAAATTATGTAAAACCGCTACTAAAAGCAAAATATAAGGAATTTTCAATCCTGAATGAAAAATTGAAAAATCCCGAAATCCCGGGATTTCAATTCTTAAAATCCTGGGATCCCGGAAATTCCCGGGAATTAAATCCCGAAAAATCCCGGGACTGGAACCCCTAATTGGGGGGGGGGGTGCTAGTAACGTGACAAAAAATCAGAACTAACAATTATTCGCCACCGATGGTCTGAACTACGCTTAAAATAAGTTAACATGATTACACAAAATCTAAAATCGGAATTAATTTAAGTTACAAGAATTTAATCATTCACTTAAACACGTGTCAAAAAATATCTAAGCCTGCTAATAATTATGTTCGTCAATTACTGAATTTTTCTGAGTAGTTGGCGATTATTCACATTTTTAATATAATGCGTAGTATCCAAGATATGTAGGGAATGTTTTACAATTTCGTTGTCATGTTAGATACATTACTGCATAGAATTCTAAGGGAACGTAATAAGAAATACCTGAAGGCATTTTGAATATGTTCGTCGTTATATGCTGCAATAATCCCATGCATTCTCTGCCTGCTTGAAATTTTGTTTGGTTAATTCTCAGCACCTGATTCAACTCTTCGGAGAAAGTTATTTTGTATTAATTAACTCCATCCAAAAATATTAGTGGTTGATTTTTACGTTATCTATATTATAAGCTGGAAATGTTTGTCTGCAACGGAAGTGAAAGTAAATGTTCTGTAACGGAAGTGAAAGTAGAGAAAGTTAAGTTTCGAATGGCGCGAAAATTCAAAAATTTTAATTTTAAAAATTAATGTGAGAAGGTGGGGGTATCGGGTCGTTATTGGTCGGTGGTGGTTATCAGAATGTTGCGGCCCGATGGTGGTTTAACCACCGTGGTTATATGTTGTCTGATGATATGAGGTTATCGGGGCTTTGCTGCCTGATGGCGATTATCGGAACTTTGTTGCCTTATGGTGGTTATCGAGCGTGGCTGCATGATGGTGGTTATCGGGGTGTGGCGGCCTGATGGTGGTTATCATGGGGTTTCTGTACATTGATGGCACTTGTGTGGTTATCTGGAGAGGTTATCTTATTGGATTCTGTTGCCATTACCGTTGCCATCGTATTGCTTCCGATAGCCTGTGTGTGGGGACTTGATCACTGGCACGTTTCCTGCCATTGGCAATGGTAGTTCCATTGGCACACTGGGCAGGCAGAGATGACAGAGCCAAGCGGAGTGCCAGAGAAACTGCCATTGGCAATGGCAGTGCCACTGGCAGACTGGGCTGGCAGAGATGACGGAGCAACAGAAGTGCCAGGCAAACTCCCATTGGCAATGGCAGTGCATGGGCTGGCAAAGATTACAGAGCCAAGTGGGTGACATTTAATTTCCCACTTTAACATTCGTTGCAAATTGCTTTCACTTCCGTTCACGTCAAATTGTTTTTAAAAAATAAATATCTACAAGATATTTAACTGGTGAAATTTTGATAATCTAATCATCTCTCGCCCGGCGGGAGACGGGCTTATACGCTAGTAATACATATTTATAAAAAATGACGATTTTGAAAAGGATGGTTAGTGCTTCGAATTAAGCCATCGAGGGAATATACTTTCATAAATGTCTCCGATGAACTAGTTGAGGATTCAATGGTGAGACTTTTGTCGCATTTATCCCAGTCGCCAGTAAGAGTAAAGGGCTGCGCTGATGTGGGGATTCTGCCAATCATATTCAACGGGAATCGATTACGGTTTCCAAACGTAATTATTGGTTGCGAATTTAGGTGCACTGTGAAACTTGAGTTTCGTAATCAAGATTTGCATGATGCTTCGGCCTCCTCTGTCATGCCTACTGTCGCAACCTAATTGTCGAAGACTGCAACTGCTGGAATCCTCTACCTAGCTTCTTGACAGTCGTCCCATAAATCAATTGATTTTTTATATGCTTCTAAAATTTTAATTTCACTCATTTATACCTTTGTATCGAGTGAGTGCAGTTATGGCTTCTTTAATGACCTGATTACCAGTATCTTAATTAACACCATAGTGGAGCTAGTATTCTGATAAGATATTAAATATTCTTTTAATCAAAATAAATTTTCTCCAGCAGAAAACATTGCATTGATTGTATCTAAAAGTATTATGCTTAAAGTAATTACATTTAAAGGCATGTTCTAAGTGCCATAAGTAGGGTACGACGTGCTCGACTATTAGTGTATCCAAGGTATCCCCTTGTTTTTATATACCTGCATTAGTGCCCTGGCCCAGGAGGGCACAACTGCTAGTCGACGAGAGACACTTGTTCATCCCCCAGAAGTATTTATGGCCAGGATGGTTTTCTTCTCCGCCGGAAAATAGTTGATGCAGTCGATTCAGATTGCCTGTGCCAACCTGCAGTAATTCTGTAATGGATTATTATTAGACTTGACCTAATAATAAGTTAGCTGGTCAAGCACGACAATGGACTCATTGGAATGAATAATTAGGGATTCCAAAGTTCAGAACCACTCAAATAAAAATGCTAACAGTGAGACCGTTTAATATGAAGACGAACAGGAGCACTAATACTTGACACATATTTCATTATACATTCACGCAAAAAAACATCCGCACTATGGAAGCTCCTATATATTATTGTATACATATCTCAGGAGAAAAATATAAAATAGTAGGTATAAGAAATTAAGTACAACGTTCTCAACCCGAAAGGATGGCCATCGTTGACGACCAAAATTGTGACGTATGGAAAACCCTGTGTACGCGGCGTTGTTGCATATCTTTACTCTATCATCAGATTCAAATATTCCCTATCCAGATATTTCCATAATTTTGTCGAATCGGTCGTCCCCGTGTTCCATGTGAGAATCTTGCTTGTTTTCCAGAATCAATACTTCAAAAATAATAGGGATCGTAGTTTTGAACGCAATGAAATCGGAAGTATTAGTAAGCCAAGAGGAAGCACTGGGAACAGCAGTAAGGAGTGATAAGGTTGTAACCCATAATTATGCCTTGATATTTCCAACTGGTTAGACCCACAAATTTTATGTGACCCAGAAATTTACTATCCAAACAAAGCACGCAATCATTTAAATCCGGCTCCGACATAACTTTCCCCACTTCTCTCATATTAGCCCCCCCGCAAATGCCAGGCACCACGATTGGTGTAAGTAGAGGTAGTAAAATGCACTACTAACTACTACTACACTTGTAAAATGCATGGAATCAACTTCAGCGAGGGTTGGGGTCAGAATTTCTATTCGAGTGAATGTTAGATTGCATTTGCGTCGATCCGCATCAGTCAAGATATTTAGTTCTAAGGGGGGTCATTCGCCAAGATGAGGTCCAAGCTCTCCTATTTTCTAACAATTATAGCTTGTGCAATTCCGAACGTAGTCTGGAAGTAATTTAGGAGGTAGTTATTAAAAAGTAGGAAAGTAGCATAAGTAATATCAAATTAGTATATATGTACGTACTCGAAAAACCGTACCAAACAACTCGAACGGTTAAAGAATTTCTCGTCCGACTCCAAAATTATATGTCTTTAAGTAGTGAATTAATATAAGAAATTCATAAATGTAGTAATAACATGTAACACATACTTAAATGCCCTCATGTTAATATATATTACGCAAGGTTAAACTTTCTTCGGTTCATGCAGTTCCAACATTTGGCGATTTCACCCAACCCGAGGGTGGTGTAGCGTCTACATTCTTACGATAAGAAACGGGGATATGAAACAATATTATTAATATTATTGGTGCCAATATTATGTATTAAGTACTTAATATACTGTGGCAATACGACACAGAAACTGACCTCCCAAGAAGAAAAAGTGCGTAAGTTGCACATGAGAAAATTCGAGATCATTGCAAATTAATTGATATTCAACCACGACTTTACTGTGTACCACAGTATTTGCAGGTGGAAGGTCCGACGCATCGGTTACTGGTGGACTTGGTCCAGTACAGTTTCTTCATGCACAAGTAGGCGGGTTATTTGTGTCGCCGCACGTGGTTGGAGTTTGTTATAATCTTAAATAAGTGATGGTATTTACTTGAATTATGATCTTATCGCGTCGGTCGGGTATAGCATCGACATGAAAAATATACGATTTTTGGAAAAGGCATTCAATTGTACAATGCTTCCATAACGAATATTTAGTATGGCGCCGTGGTATGGTCGTCTTTGCTGCAGGGAAGAAGTCCCATTCTTCAACCACGATTGCTTAGGCCATTCGACAATAGGTCTGAAAAATTGTAAAATTTTAGCATTAAAACTTACACCTTCTGCATTGAATCACTAGTCAACTTTTAAAGAGATGAATCTGGGGCTAGTCGACAAAAACGGAAAGATGTCAATTAACTCACTCTAGTAATAGTAGGTTGTAACTTCATAGTCACCCGTGATTCCCTAGGGATGTTGGATATTCTCATTTGCGAAGCCAATGTTAAACTGCTCTGAACCGGTTGGGGACGGAAAAGTGGCTTCTTGAATAATCTGGGAAATCATCTTATTATTTCGGGCGTGTGTAATATCCACATTTACATTATTTACACAGTACAATTATTTATGACATACACATGTACATTTAGATATTCTTCGTAATTTTTTCTTTACGTTTATCTGTTCACACTCTTTTCTATGAGTTCTATGACTGTGTACTTCTAGGCGTCTAGTTTTGAGTATTGCTGGTGCAAAAATGTTTTGTCCCTTCGTTAGACTGATGGTGGATTTTGTATAGATTTGTTGTTGCTGAAATTGGACAAAAAACACGTTTTTGAGTTATCTTTCTCCCCTATAAAATGTGCAAAACAGTTATGATTTTACTTGTAATATTGGACCCATTAATGAATTCGTATTTTCCAAGTATACACTTGTCTCATTGATTGTTGGAATAGGGCAATTTCGAAATATGTAATCTGAAATCTATATTATATGCTGGAAATGTCTGTCGGCAACGGAAGTGTTCCGCAACGGAAGTGAACGTTGTATAACCACCGCGGATAACCGCGGTACCGTGGTGCCATAACGCTACCGTATCGCTACTAACAGTGCCACGACCGCGGGGTCGCGAATACGCGTATTTACTTTTCCGCGATGTCGTATTTGGAGCGTCGCGGTTATGGTTACGCATAACCACTCGTCGGCGTCCGATACTTGAAAGTGAAAGTGTTTCGAATGGCTCAAAGATTCAAATTTAATTTAAAAAAAAAAAAATATAAGTCTGATTATCTGTATATGTAGTGATCTTGGCATGATTGTTTTATGGTGGTTAGCAACTCCCAGATAACCACCATCAAATAAATATTCACAATATTCAGAATCTGGTGAACATCAAAACATAATTGTCTGTACTTTCCTTTCCTCTGCGGAACATTTGCTTCCACTTTCGTTGCTGACACCCTGAAAAACATTTCCAGCCTATAATGTACGCCCGGCGTTAGACGGGCTTATACGCTTGTGATAATATGAAATGCTAATATGAAATTCAAATTAAAGCATTTAATTTTGACTGTATAATTCATTCACCGGAAACAAACGTTTTCCTAGCGTCCAGAAATTTTTTGTGTTCGTAATTTTTTTAAGAAATCGGTTAGCTTATATTAGGATTCGAATCCTTGTATTAGTGTTTCCAAATTTTTTCAAGTTTTTGCATAAAGTTGACGGGAACATACAAAATTTGACATTGTAACTCATACATACATGCCGCACGACTCTTCATTAAATCTATGTAAAATATTTTCCTGGATTTATTTAGTCAGCCTAGATATTACACAAGTCAAAAAATTTGTTTTGATGTATGCATTATTAAGGTAATTCATGCAGTCATTTTCTACCCTTGTAAAATCGGTAAGTTTTGTAAAATAATTTTGCAAATTAAAAGCTACCCTCGATTTAAGTCAATTATTAAAAAAATGTAATATAATTTTCCTCCAAGATATTTGTAAAAGTTTAAAATACAAGTTCACTGATTTTACAAAGTTACCAAGGACTGCGTGAATTGAGTTAAGTATGAATTATTTATGTTACAAATACGCTAATAAATTAAGATGCCAATTTATACGTCAGATATGCTAATTTGTGCCCAGATGTCAATAATCACATGGACTCAAACCTTTATAATAAAGCTACTCAACAAATAAATTTTTTTATGTTGCCAATTATTGCATCGCCAATGACAATTTCCCATTACATGTATTTAAAGCTGTCATACTACTCAAGTCGATTTAGGCCGCAAATATTCAATAATTGATAAGTTATTAATAAATGAAATGAGTTATCAATGAACTCATTTCATTCACATGTAAAGATATTGCATATGTGTACCTCTCAAACTAAATGAAATACAGTACTAGAATATTTTTCAAACGTGTCAGCAATTTAAACCGTACTTATGAAATTGTCACGATTTAAGCTAAAATATTCTTTTCAGCTGAAAGGTTCCCTGATGTCTTATTTAGCGTCGGAATGGAGTTGTCAATCAGATATTTAACTCAACTGACATACATTCCCAAACTCTGCGATCTGAAGCCAGTGAAATAAGCAAATTTACAAATAAAGGTAAGTGACTGGTAATGGAGGTCTCCCAACATACAGACATACATATTCTCGGAGATTTTGGCTAAATTAGCGTCAATCGATCGCAAGTCTAAATTATGTGAAACTAAATTTGCGAAAGACATTTTCTGCCAATGCGCCAGATCGGCAGAGATACTTCTTTCCAAAGAGGAAAAAATCCACGGTAAGTTTGTCGTAGATTTAGCAGTTGTTGTACTAAATACATAGGTACATAGTAAATAGTAATAAGTATTCTAAAACTTGAATTAAATCATTGCTGGCCGGAATATACAAAATACCCTGTAGGGTAATTTATGTAGGGGCCTTCCATCAATTCTGTAACGCAAAATTCGCAATTTTCTAAATCCCCCCCCCCTTTAACATGTTTCACGTAAGCACGATATCATTGAAAATTTAAACCCCTCTCCCCCATCGCGAGTTATATAGTTTATGCACGAACTCCAACCCTCAATAAAAAGAATTTCCGGTAATTAAAAGTTTATCATTCAGCAACAACTCGCTGACCATTAAAGGGAAAAACTGACTATTTTACGCTACAACGACGGTATTAACAAGGCTGGGTGGTCGTGCATAAAACATTTTTGCAGGTTTGTGAGAATCCATACTTTTCTCACAATAATTAAACATGGAAATATGCGTACGCTTTGCTCCATGAAATAAAAAGTGTCGCAAAATTTATAACATCCTTAACACGCATCCCCCGATTGAGTATGATTTTAATCACTTGACGAAATATTCTTGAGTAGACTGTACAGGATTTCCTTAGTACATACGCAATTCACTCATGCACTTACAAAAAATTGCCAACAGGTTGTTGCTTCGCTACTAATACATAATTTCTAATAAGTTTTTAAAATGTGATCCCCATTGTTACTTTCTTTGTGGTAAATACCACCCAATTTAGTTAAATGTGGCGACAGTAATTCTTAATTCCTATAAAATTTTGCATATGAAAAGCGCAACATGGGGCTTTCGCTTTTAACGCGAAATAAATGTTGAATTAGCTAAATACTTCGTTTTCGACGTATACAATTCGTACAACTGAAAATTTGAATCACTAAAGAATGTATTAGAAATTGTACTCAAATGTATTCGTGGTAAATTTACTTAGATCTCTCGAATTTGAAGGGTGAGTAAATTTTGAAAATGTTAAAACATTTACATATACGGTCAAAATTTTGGTTGATTCACGTATGTATCTATGTATATACTCCGTCTTGGTACTGATTTGTTAATTTTTTCCTGCCGGATTAGTGCTAGTTTACTAATATTTTTGAGTAAGTAGTAATTTTTTTTATAATTACAACATTACCGAACCGCAATACGTCTTACTACTAATGCCGGTAAAGTATACATATGTACATAAAGGGTGTTAATAAAGTCCGATCCCATGAATTTTTTGGAGCGCGGTTGTTACAAATTCAGCTGGAACTTTTGAACCAGTGAAGTTATTTATTTCAAATTTTTACCATGGGAGGAACAACTAAACGTGTAAGTCATGAGCATCTTAGAGTTAAGATACAAACATTGCATCAGCAGGGGTTTAAACCTGCAGAAATTGTGCAAAAATTGGGCTGCAGCCGCAGAACTGTTTGGAAATGGAAGAACAAAAATTTTGTCCACGACAAAAAGCGACCCGGGCGACCCAGAAAGGTGTCACCTACCACAAAGAGAATGATTAAAAACAGACTTTACAAGAAAACCGGTAGTTCATTACGTAATTGTGCAAGGGAGTTAAATGACTCAAAACGCTATAAAGAGAAGAAGAAGCAAATTAACTATGTGACCGTGCAAAAATTTGTGAAATCTACGAGGTGGGGTCACACAGCTTACAAACTAACCAAAAAACCTCTCATGCCACAAAAAAATATCGATGACCGTCTGAAATTTGGAGAACTCCTTCAGAAAAGTGCCCATTTGAGTGAAAAAAGACTTGGTGAAGAATTGCGCAGTCACATCCTTTGGACTGACGAATCTATTATTGAGCTATATCCAAAATTGAACCAACAAAATGTTCGTTACAGGACAGAAAACAAATCGGATGTACCATCAAGAGTAGTCCCAAAATTCGGGCTTAAAGTTATGGTAGCGGGTGGATTTTGTGCACGTGGCGTGACTCCTCTACATATCATACCAAAAGGCCAAACAGTCAATGCAAAGTATTATATGGAAAAAATATTACCTATCTATTTCGATAGCATGGGGAACAAGGAAATATTTCCGAATGAAAGAAAAATAGTTTTCATGCAGGATGGTGCTACAGCCCATACAGCAAAAGCGAGTTTGAGTCTCATCAAGACGCAAGTTTCAACGGTCTGGAGCAAGGGGGTGTGGCCCGGAAACAGCCCAGATTTGAATCCCCTGGAGAACCTGTGGTCCATACTTAAGGAAAATGTATACAAAGAACCACAACCCCGGACGAGGGAAGAGCTAGTAAAAAAAGTTCAAGATGTATGGAATTCGATTCCCACAGACACATTGGAAAAATTAGCACAGAGCCTTAAACAAAGAGTTGAGGGCATGGTTAAAGTAAATGGTAACAAGACCAAATACTAAGGTAAATATGTCGAACATTTTTTGTAAGTATGACGGGTAGTTTTTTTTATACTAGCCTTCACTTTTTTATAGGAAAAATGGGATCGGACTTTATTAACACCCTTTACAATAATGGTTTAATATCAGGAGTGTATGTATGTATATACCACGCATAAATAAGTATTAATTTTTGGACTTTTTAATATTTTGCATGTCTTTTAAGGAATACCAGCACCAACATACATACATTAAGCACCTGAGAAGTGTATCTATACCTACAAAAACAAACCAATTAAACGTATGTATTTATAACATAATTCCAAATTTACTCAAAGTTTTCATGCCTTACTAAATTTTTAGACTTGTGTAATTCCATTTTTTGTCTATTTATTTTCAGACCGTTATGACGAATTATTGTCGTCTGCTTTGTACTTCCATTAAAGTTCAACACAACCGGGAAGCTATATTTACGTGAGTTATTTACATACATAGATTATTTACACTCTAAACAAAATTGTATAAAGTTTTCTCTAGTATGATACTCCACAATTGCGAATAAATTATACGCAATTTCGGATAAAATTTATTAAAGCTTGAGTAAAATATTTGACCAACCGTAGTACGTACTAAATTATATGGTGTAATTTAGTATGTATTTAATACGCTTGGTCAACTATTTTACTCAAGCTTTAATTAATTTTATGTACACAATTTTATTTACAGCGTACATATTTCATCGTTGTGCAAAACAAGACTTGATTTTTTTATATAAAAACGTTTTCTAAAATTCATAAACAGATTATCATCTGGGACATGTTCAATATCTATGAAAGTCATCTCACCAAACAAAATGCTCTTTGACTGGAAAACTTGGAAAAAAGGATACGTCGAAAATGGAGATCTTGTTCCGGTTAATTAGTTAAGCTACTTTCCTTCTCTGCAACTTATAGGCAATATACATATTTGTAGAATTATTGTCTGCAATTTAGTAAACCCTACTCAATACATGGTAAATACACTCTTAAAAATAAGCTTATCCCCTCGAAAGCTAAATGCACCATAAATTCTAAATTAACTAAACCCTACTCTGGATTTGGTACAGTTTACTTAAGGTGGATTTACTTTTCAATAGGGTCCATTTATTGTTAAGACTGTGGTGAAAGCTAAAATCAAAATCAAAATAACACAAAAATTGAATTAAATCTACCAATAATGTAAAATTAAGTAGGTAGGTATGTTCCCACAACGTTTTGCATATTCACTGGTTCTAATAATACTATTTACATGATGTTCAAACTTGACCACAAATCCAAATTTCATAATTACGTAGAGAGTGGAACGGAAATTAAAATGACTTAATGTGAATACTCAAAACCTAAAGTTAGAAACCATTTTGCTCATGTCTCTAAGTATCGAAAGCGGCTAAACATAAATCCGTAAATTAATAAGTATTGTGAATAATAATTACCAATTATTCACAAATGTAAGACCCCGTATCTAAAATATGTAAAGAGTGTTTTGGAATTGTGCTCTCACAGTCCGAACGAACCAATTCAAATATATCAAGTCAAATTTGTAGCACTTATTAAGACATACTGAAGCTAATAACATGTATAGGTAGAAAATTCCCCTGAAACAAATTGAACATTGTAGGAATCCGTTATTTATTGCTATCATTTCTTAACTGCTTAAAGTTTAAAACAAGTTTTAAAATGTCGTACTGTGGTGTCTAATGTATATCTGCACATTCATAATTCATACAGCAGGTTGAAACATTTTGCAGCCAGCATACCACTACATACATATAAAAACTTATGCATAAAGTCATACTGCGACCAAGCACGGACAGGTATTTAGAAAATTAATTGAAATGCGATAAACTCAAATGTGCCGATGCGATTCTTTAATTCTAGCTTTGTTAAAAAGTAGTCAAGTTGTAGCAAGGGACAAATGTTGTATGGTTCTGAGCTACATTCCAGATGGTAAAATCTAGCTGGGAACCATACATTTGAAAGGTATAACTGGATGATGGGTTTAATTGTAATACGAACTTGAATAATTAGGGATGTATAACCCACTCTGGATATTTTAACTTATTCAAGTATACCAGCCGGAATAACGTCGCTTAGTTAATTCTAAAAATTCCTTTATAAATGTAGTACTTGCAAAGCCGAGATAAGGTTAATTTACATGACTTCGCCGAAATGTTGGATGAAATGTGCACTTTTGTCCCTTCATAAACCGACAGAGACAAAATTACACTGTTTATGCAAGATTTTTACGTGTAATCCCGCCTGGTTTCTAATGAAATCAGTCAAGATGGCTCTGGCGTTTTTAAGTGTCCCGGGGGTTTCTTATTGTTTCCGTGTTGTGGTCCTAGATTAAATTCCGAACCGACAAATCGTTCGGATGGATAAACTGATCGCTGATTAACAGTCGTGATAAATCCGCAACTCGGCTTAGGGCCACGTACGAGTAATTGCTAAATACCGGTCGAATGATAACAAAAACTTGAACGTGAACTGAATCTTTTGCCTCTCTACCCAAAAAATTCACTACGAATTTATCAACCGTTGATCCTTGAACCCTATTAGACTCAACAGATTTGCTGAATATGTCGGCTAATAAATATTTTAAACCTTACTTCTGAATAGTTAGCGATATAGATTGCCGCAATGGAAAACGATGGATTGTATGCTTGAAGTGAGTGCGTGGACAATGAATCGTCTCTTTCCTAATTTCTATTGGAATTCCGCCACCGAGGAGTTGTTGATGTTTGTAATCGTCAATCTCAATAACGATAAATCTAAGATATTCAAGATAGCCTTCCTCTAATAAAATATTATTGAACTCAAGGCATATTTTACTCACTTTAAGTCGAACAACCCATTGTGGTCAAATTATAATAGAAACAATATAAGACCAAATAATTGTACACTGTGATGGTTATGCTTTTACTACTAATATATGAATTAATTCACGCATTATTACATATAGGTACCTGGCGAAGCTTGGTCCAGCTTAAACGAAACTAGGCTGTCCTGGTCCTGGTCCTGTTCTCGTCCCAATGAGTGTAGATTTGCTGGGTTAGAAATTATACCAACACCAGGAAACAAAACAAAATTACATAAAATGGAAATTTCATAAGATTGCAGTGTTGGTCATTAATTTATTATGATCATAAGAAATGAAAAGCTGCATTTTAATGCATAATAATGTATATATATTTTGAGAAACTGCATTATTGCGATTAATGCAACATCATTCATTAAAAAGAGTTGCAATCATATTGCAAAGTTTACTTTAGGAATACAAGTGCGAATTTTACTCCAAATGCCCCAAAATAATTTTTTTTCATTGCTTCAAACTCATGGCCAGTGTACCCTTGCAGATTCATAAATGCGTCTATATCGAATCCCTTTAAGGTGTGGGGAGAATTTTCTAGTCGTGTGCGAGGTCGCACACCAACACTCGCCAGGGAGGGGGAGGAAAGTTAGGCGATTGCGCAACCTCAATTTGTCCAACCTTTGCTCCTTCATCTGCTGTTTCGAAATTCCTGGTATTTAAAAACTGATTTAGTTGTGCAAATTCCTTCAAAGGGTATTCGCTAATGACGATTGATGCATCAAATTCCCTCTAAATGGCTTCAATCTCGTACTCAATTTCCGCCAGAAGAACAGACGTGTATTGGTCAAGTGGTTTAGGACATTGGCCCCCAGAAGACGGATGAGTGCTTACCCCTACAGAAAACTCTGCCTCGGGGTACTCTGTTGAATCAGTAAGGTAAACTGAGGTAATTGGACAGTCATGTACAGCGTAAGGAGTGGAGGCGCCTAGCTTGAAATTATTATATTGAAATGGACCATATTTTATGGTATTCAGAAATTCGTCTATAAAAACTCAAGTAAAAGTTTCTGTACAATCCGTATAGTTGCCAGTCAAATTAAAATTTGACAAAGCTCTAAACATTTATTTATTACGTACTAATTTTCCACCACATACAAATAACGTCTGGTTATGTTAAACAAAATTCTATCGGCTCCGTTTCCCCGCAAATTTTAAAAATCGGTCGTAATTTTTATGGAAATATTGAATCCATCGATGAAATATATTTTCAAAGTATATAATGTTTTTTCCATAATTAAATTTTACATACCCTAAAACACGCATTTCTTTTCATAATCAGGTATTTTGCACTGACTTTCTCATTGATTGTAGGGATGGGACTGTTTTTAAAAAAGTACTGATCAAATCAAACCATTTAATTTAGATCGAATAATTTATGTTTCGTATTTATTTTTCACGGCGTCCTTGTCTTGAATATTGATGTTTTCATAATTTTGTTAAGCCGTAAATCCGATTATCTTCGTACAATGCTGAGTGCAAACTTACCTATTCTTTCGGTTAGGTTAAATTTACATTTAGATCCTTGCATTAATTTTTTCCAATGTTGTTAAACAAGTTACGCAGAACGTTGATGGGAAGATACATAATTTGCATTGAATCTCGTGAAGTATGAAGCATACATATTAGTTCACCCAGTCACTGAAAATGTAAATACAAATGTTACTAAGCTCTTAAGTGAAACATAAATAGAAATACAAAACAACCAATTAATTATATTTAGCAATAAGAAATTAATCATTTCTGTATCTAAGTATGTGCATGTCCATCGGAATTACATTTAAAAATGTTTCTGTGGAATTTGTCAACTTATGTAACACCTTTATATTTTTTACATACATATTATGTATGTAAATGATGCATAAAAACGAAAAAAGTCACAGATCCATAAAAACTGTTAAGAAATTAGTTAAGTTAAATTAAAAACTATGGGAAATATTCTTCTATAAATTTAATAAACAGAATTATTTAAATAATTTGACACATAATTTTAAAACGTTTAATCAGCGTCTGTAGGTAACATCTGTATACTCCGTTTCGAATTTGGAATGTAAGAAAAATTATATTAAACGTTAAAATTCAAAAATACACATAAAAACACACAACGTTTTTGGCCATTCTTCTAGGGGCCCCCAAAATATAGTTACGCCACTATCTGCAATTGGTCCAAATGATTTTTGAAAACGAATCATGCTGACCAGAAAGCTTCACGGTGGTGTTGTAGTACGGTCCCATGAACAAATAATTTACTGATGCAATGGTTGAGGAATCAGCAGAAGAACTAACGGATTGATTTCGTACCCACATCTCTGTCCGGTTTTTCTATACGGTCGGTACAATATAGAGCTCTGAGGAGCTCCTTTCGGAACCATTAAGGTGTAGCGTATAGAGTAATAGCGGCCACTTGATGTTCCAAACTTACCCGTCAACGTGAACGTGCTAAAAACTATGACATAAATATATATGCACAATGTAAAAGTACGAATATACATATGATTACATATGAACACCTTCTATAATATATTGATAAAAATCGTAACGCAAAAGTGTCCAGTGTTATCGGAAGGCGAGTGACTGTGCCTGAAGGGTGCTTTGAAAGTTGCATAAGTTGCAACACGCATATTCATGTAAGCAAATGCATCATTAGCTTAGTTCACGTTAAACGTATATTATTGCAGTTTCTGCGAGAAGGTACGTCTTTACGACCATTGGCACCGGTCAGAATAATTATGATCACATAATGACAACAGGATTATGACCAAATTTGGTTTTATTACGTGCGATTAAATCCACCCGCTTGCAAAATAATTTATTCATATTCAACAAATAACTTTATCTTAGGGAAACACGCCCTTTCAAAATCTCCTAAGGCATCAGAGATTTTTAAACTCGCTTTGAACTGCAGATAAGCGTAATTTCAAATTAGATATCTACGAATATAGAGATAGGCAAACTAAGTCTACAATTGAATTTTTAATTGGCGAATGTGTGGAGATGATCTCCTCAATTATTGCTTTGTTTAATAGTACGAAGTCTAATAAGACGCTCAAATCCCCTGATGGTTCTTTGTAATTTTTCAACCATTCGACGAGCTTTTCTTGTGTCGCGTAACCATTTTCTTTGCCTTTGTAAGATGGTCACTTGCCATTTCGACCAGATTTCTGGTTCTATTTTTTTTAGTTATTACCAGATTCTCTGCAATCTTTGGTATTATATATGGATCTGATAACCTAGCCAAAATTTATCCATTTGGAGATCTGATTAGCTTCTTTAAATTCATTCACGAGAGGGCAAACCACACAAAAAAGGCTGTCAGAATTTAGAGTTTCATGTTATCGGTGCGCACGTAATGGGTATATCGCTAGTGTCCAGACAAATTTACGGTTGGTTGCCTTATTTTCCGCAAAATGAAACATAGTGTGGCGTCACCATGGTCTCACCATATTCAACTAACAAAAATTACAGAAACCAACCATACATTTGTCTGTACTTCTGGAATTCGTTGCGTACTCACCGAAATGGTGAAATCTAAAATTCCGACAGTCTTGGTTTTAAAACAATTCGACCTATGTAGTAAGGCGTTTCATTTTTGAATCCTATTTGTTAACCGTAGCGAGTTCTCTGGCTGAATACAATGAGCAATGGTGATCTTAGCTAATTAAGGACGGGTGTCTCAACTTAATTCATGAATTTATTGTTTATACGATCTGGTGCAGGTAAACCCCAGTCGATAACGATCTAGTACAAGCTCTTACGTGGATGAAGAATAAAAAGTTGAAAGTTAATTGTTGTTCGTGCCTGTAAATGCACTGCATCATTGATACACTAACATATGATATAGAAATTACAATTTTAGGGATATGTAATAAGTTGCTTTGCAATTATGGAAATATTACGATCAAATATCTCGAAACCATGATACCGGTTACAAACAGTAGAAACTCGAGGGGCATGAAGGATAATTGAGGGGGTCAAGCCAATTATTAGAAAACCAGCATCATGACAGCAGCTAGGAAGAGTAAAAAATCATTCAAACATGTATCATTCACTGCATCTATAATAAGCATAATACTCAATTTAATCTACTACACCACAAATTTTTTTCCATATTTACAACCGACAAAGTATGTATAAGATTGATGGGAACATACAAAATTTACCACGGAATTTCATACATGCAGCACGACTCGTTTATATTTCCTCGTTCACTAACTGAATATGAAAATTCAAGTGTCAAACAAACATACAAACTAAAATCAACCCAAGATTTGACTTGACAAGACTAAATTAAAACTTATGTAAGAGTGAGAATTATTCGATTCAACAACGAAATCCACCACTAATTTTAGAATTTGGTCATGTTACTATGGTCAGTGGCTGATGATTTAACTAAATTTTTGTCGGGGCAACACTGACCATAGTAACATCTTAAAATACTTGATTCCAAATTCTAAAATCAGTGGTGGATTTCGTTTCTGAATCGAATAATTGTTAACTTTTAAGTTAGAACTTAAAACTTATGCAACTAAAATAAAACCCATACAAACTAAAATAAAAATACACAAACATGCCTAAGTTAAGGAATTAATTATATTATAACATATTTACATATAAATTAGGTCAAATATGTTTCCGTGGATTTATATAGTAAGCTAAATAAATTTATTTTCAAATAGGTATAAAATATTGAGGTAATTCATGCAGCCCTTTGCTACCATTGTAAAATCTGAAAGTTTTGTAAAAGGATTTTGCAAAAAAGTCGATCAATTAAAAAAATACAAGCTAATTTTTCTCCGAAATGCCTGTAAAAGTTTGCAAGTTTACTGATTTCGCATAGTTGCCAAGGACTACGTTAATTGACTCGTTATTCATTTTTAAAATACCCAAATAAGTTATTATAAGTCGGAATGAATATGCAAATATGTGCACAGATATAAAAAAAATATATGTATGAATGTACACACTCGTACATACTTTAATAATAATGCTACTAAATAAATACGTACTTTTAGTGTCAATATTGTGTCAGTTTTTCCATCGGTAATTAAAATATGTCATTACCATGTCAGGCTAATCAAGTTGCTATAGGATGCAAGTATTCAATAATTTATAACTTATTTCATTCACATGTAAAAATAAATGAAATATGTACTGAAATATTTTTGGAAACATTTGAACTACGCTTCGCAAAATCGCATCATTTCCTGCATCTGGAACTAAAATATTTTTGCAGCTGAAAACCTGCCTCGTATTTCAGTTGGAGTTTCCAAACAGATATTTAACTTGGGTTAGCCAAACTCTGCATGATTTTGGAAGCAAATAAGTTATACATACATATTTGTACATAAACGTAAGTGGCAAAGGGTATAAAAGATTTTAAAAGGCTGAACAAAAAATTGTTAATCGTCCACTGAATAAGTAAATTTACTATTTTATCCGTAATCATTATTTCAAAAGTTGTGGCCGTATATGTAAAGTTGCCTGAATTTTAATAAATATGATTTTTCATTTTTTAACAGATTTTTAGTGCAAGTATGTATGTATGGGTATATAGCGAGTAAGTATGCATGTAAAAAGGTGTGGCCGTAGAGTTTCATGAATTTTAATGACTATAATTTTTTCATTTCTCATTTTTAACGGATTTTGAGTTCAAGTACGTAAGTATTTATATAACGAGAAGTTTCCTGAATTTTAATCAATATAATTTATTCATTTTTCGTTTTTTAACGGATTTTTTTTACTGCAAGTAGTAAGTATAACGAGTGAGTTATACAAACTTTAACCGAATAAAACCTGCGTTAAGTTGGAAGAGTGAAAATGCATCACTTATACACTGCATCGACTGTATTAATCGCTGTGGGTGGTCGTGCACCATGTGTTTCTGCGGGTCTACTAAAAATGATACTATTGTCATACTATGCTTATCGAGTGGATAAGGTTATATCACATCCTTAATACACGTCTCTTGCTGGAGTATGAGATTATACATTTTACGAAATGTTCTTGAGCAGACATTACTCTCATTGATTATCTGTATATTTCGTTACTACGCACTTCACTACGTGCTTATTTAAATATCAGTTTGTAAAATGTGATCCCATCTTTAATTTCTTTCTGGGCAAGATTTCCAATAAAAGAATACTTTAAACCCATTGTAAGGAGTGAAGCTTATTTACATAATTCCGATTTTTTAAACTGCAACCTGTAACGAAATATAATTATTTATTTAGTTCAATAATTTGATTTGTTCGTACTGGTGGAAATTCCAATCGTTACGAATTTTTAAGTTTTATTAAGAAATTTTCGTGTGGCTGAAATTGGGTATGCAAACTTTTTTGATGTTAAAATGTATGTATATATGTATATACACTGTTAAAAGTCTGGTAGTCACATAGTTACTCTGTGCTGGCCTTGGTTTGGTAATAACTAAATACCGGACTGGCAGTAATTTGTTCCTTGGTGGTAAATGTTTAATTGCCACAACATTGCTGAACGGTAATTCTCGTGCCGATAGATTCACATATTTACTTTATACTCCGGTCGGTAATGATTTAATACCAGTTTTCTAAAAGTGCACATACATACACATTTACCAAACAAAATATGTAAATGTATTCATTGTGGGACTTTTTTTAAACTTATTTCTTCTTATACCAGATGGAATATGTACCAATGAATAATTGAAAAATACGAGAAGGATGTTACCTTGCGCATCAACTTTAATAGCAATCAAAGGTTTGAAATAATTCCAAATTCACATTTGTCGCATCATACATAATTAATTTTTAGGTTTTCCACTCCTATATGGTTCCAGATTTTCAGAAGAATGATGTAATTCATATTTTCACTCGAGTTCAACCCACTCATGGAACCCGTCATGTTTTGGTGAGCTATTTTACTTATGTCCACTCTAAATAAAATTGTGTTCAATTTTGTCAAAGTTAAATAAGCGTGGGAACGTCCATGAATATATTACGTCATAATTTGGGTGGGTCGGTGGTTTAGGTGTTAATATCTTTCCGATGTTAAAATTCCATATCCAATACAATTAAAAAGATAAAATGTATCCAATGTTGCGTCTAAGTTTGTGCAACATTTGGTCAAAGGTTTTAGTCAACCTTTATTAAATTTTCCATAATTCCATTTAGAGCGTATGTACTGCGTTAATATTTTCAAGACGTCTTAATCAATAAAGGTATTTAATTAGTAATTCATATATTATGTAAACTTTGTTTTCTAAAATTCCTATTCAGATCACCTTGGACGTTTTCATCTGATGGAGATTCATCCCACCAGTCACAACGCTGTCGAATGGAAAACTCTAAAAAATGGAAAGCGGAGATCTTGTTCCGGTTAATTAGTTAAGCCAAGCCACCTTCCCATTATTATCCTTTCTTAACTGTATATAACTTATGTAGATTTATCGGGTATATATTTTAATCTAATATACCGTACACAATTATAAATGGCACACACTTAAAAATAATGTTACCCCGTTGAAAAGTAAATGCACTCTGAATTCGTTAAGTACACTGTATTGAATCCAGAATAACGCAAACTTTATAAGGAAAACATATAGCCTGGTCTGGATTTTGCATAGTTTACTTGATATATTCATACACTTTATAACAGAGTAGCATTAGTTTTAAGAGCGTGGCAAAAATTAGTAATAATCGATATTTGACGTAAATGAAAATTCCGCCTCATCAAATGCATATGTACGTCCAAATGCTAAATAATGCCATGACACAAATTTTGTATGTTCCCAAACAAATTTGAAAATTCATTTCTAGTGCAAAGTGCTTAGTAGCGTGATAAAAAAATTCGAAACTAACAATCATTCGGCACGAAAGATTAGGACTAGATTAAAACTGAGATAATATGAGTGCACAAAACTTAAAATTGGAAATTAAAATAATTGCTGTTGCGAAAAATTATTGTTCTTCACTTAAATACATATCTATCTAAACTAAATATATGTAAGCCTGATAATATTTCAGTTAATTACTCAATTGTTATGAGTAGTTGACAATTATTCACATTTTTAAAATAACGTGTAGTATCCAAGATATGTAGGGAATGTTTTACAAGTGCGTTGTCATGGCACACACATGACTGCATAGAATTCTAAGGGAGCGTAACACTAAATTCCTGAAAGCATATTGAATACATCGTTTTGTACTGAAATAATCCAGTGTAATCAATGCATGCCTGAAATTTTGTTTGGTTATACCACAACCTAGACTAAACTCTTTGGAGGAAGTTATCATGTATTTACCAAATCAATCCAAAAATGTTATCATTGATATTGGTTGACTTTTAGAGTTTTACGTTGTAAACATACATCTTCATAAAAAATGGTAATGGTGGAAAGCATGGTTAGTGCTTTGAATTAAGGCACAAATTCCCTTTCATAAATGTTTCTGATGCCCTAGTTGAGGATTGAATTGTAAGATTTTTGTCGGATTCATTCCAGTCGTCAGTAAGAGTAAAGGGCTGCACTGACGTGGGAATTTTGTCAATAATTTTTAATGGGGAGTCGATTTTTATGGGGTCCAAACTTAATTATTGATTGCGAATTTGGGTGCACATTGAAACTTTAGTTTTGTAACGGAGACTCGCATGATGCTTCGGCCATCCTCAGTCATGCATACTGCCGCAATATAATTATCAAACTCTGCAACCGCTGGAATCCCCAGCTACTTGAAAGTCGCTGTAGTCCCCTAAAACAATTTTGATTTTTTAATGCTCTTTTCCTAATTTTAATTTAACTGATTTAGAACTTTGTAACTAGTGAGTGGAGATTTTATTTTGACCCCTGTATCTATCTACCCGATCAACAAAAGCTATCACTTTTACGCAAAAGTCATACAGTTAAATTGCAGCAACTGATGGCCGGCAAAAATCCGTGAAAAGATACTAGATATTTAACGTAAAATAAACTGTCAATATTGCATAGAATTGGCAGTCATATTCATGCAATTTAGCCTCAAGAATATTGCGTAGAAATAACCGTCAAATTAATGCAATTTATAGCATAGAATATTGCGCAAAAGAAACGAATAATTTGATGCAAAACTTGCAGTTAAACTCTATGCAATTACTGCAGTCAAATAACACGAATTATTTATTTTTATCAAAATCATTTATTTCATAACAAAAATTATATTGTAACATTATACAAGGGAATGCAAATGTTTTCATCTATTTTATCCGACGGGAGTAACCAACATTTCTTATCAATATCATTAATACCTATTATGGTTACGCTATTTGATAATTTGCTAACTTTAATTATTCCTAAAATTTTACTTTCACACGGACAAGTGAACAAGTTGTCCGAGTGTTTGAATTTTCTACAATTTATATGTTTTTTTATCTTTACTTATACTACTTATAACAACTACTTTCCCATCCTTTAATATAAAACAATGATCCTTTCCGTTCGATTTTATAATACAGTGTCTATTTAAATTCACAGGGGACTGGTACTTATGATTTTCTCCCTCAGCAGTGCGATTCACAGTTTGCTCAAAAGGTTTATAGTGAGCTCGTAGCGAGCGCTTTATTACTTGCATTAAACATGCTTTAAAGCGTCATCACTAATATATATAAGAGAATGCATATTATATGATAAAAACTCTTCTTCATATAAATTGGGAACATTTTTAACAAACTTCAATAAAAGCTGTCGTGCATAATCGTTCCAATTATTTGCTTGCGCCTTGGTAGTTATAAGAATCGTGACTGCTACGCAAAGATTTAAAAAATGTGTATACTTTTTCGGCGACAATAATCCTTTTAAAGCGACGGGTCCTGTATAAAGAAGAAAAGTTCTAAACTCTGTCGCTTTCCACATATCTAACTCTTTTACTGACCTCTGCTTACGACAAAATTCTTTAGGGCAACTATGCGAAAATAATACTAGTTTACTTGATAAAGTTGAAATATCACGAGAAGATAATTTAAATGGCAATGGACCTTTTACCCAACTTCTTAATAGTTTTCTAACCACACCTAAGCAAATGAGGTGAAGAAATCATCAAAATTTTAAGCTCCGTAAACGGGGAAATGCCTACATGGTGGTGTTTATCTTTTTGAACATAAAAATCTTGATCTGTCCTAAGTGGACTATCGAATGTTCTGAAAATTACACGTCCCTTCCAGAAACCTGGATCTATACATTTCTCGCATCCATTGTATGCATTATGACTTTTACATTGCTTTAAAAAACTCCTGGCTGGCGCATCAGCTATTATTTTTGAAACCTTACAAAATATTTTCAAATTATTGTAACTAATCCCAACTCGCAAACTTTTTAACTCTGCTATCAAATCCATCAAGTATTCGTCAATACTTTCTGGTTTTGTCTTGCCATAAAATAAACCCACGACAAATACGCCGTACGTACTTTCTTCACACTTTGCTTGAATTGGCCAAAACTGGTTACTGTTACTCTTAGAAATGGGCAATCCATCAAAACTAAATATAAGGTTTAATTTAATTTCGCTACCAGAAGCAAGAATACAATTGGAATCTATTTGCCGTTTTATATTTTGAATAACATCAAAGTGTGCATATTGACCCTGACCGATAGTTTTCATAGAGTATTTAATTGAGTTTTTAAGCAATGTCCTACTATCCAATGGAAGAAATCTAAATTCTTGATAAAAGTTAAATATGCGTAGAAGATCGTTTAAAGCTACTCCCGTTATGTTATGTCGAAGCGACCAGTCCCTCAAGTCCCGTGTTAAATCTAAAATATTCCTATTATTTTCTACTACACCATTGTCGCTTAGTGAATCGGAAACTAATGGCTCGTCACTATTATGGATAACATTACTGCTTCTATCATTATTGCTAATATTACTACCTGAATCGCTATCCTCAACTACAGAATCACATATATCTAAATTTACAAGATTATTACTAATAGCAGATATGTTTTTTGCACGAGTGAGATTCTCTCTAACCCGTTTTGCAATTATTCGCCTAATGTTTCTCGGTGATTTTCCATCTCGATCCATGATTATGATGCAATTCCCGAGGGAGCGTCGTCGTTGCACCTACTTTTTGAAGAACGAAACCAATTCATTGCTGCAGTTTGAATTATATCATCGGTGGGAATACGGCCGCTGGGATTTTTGGGATCGGGAACGGACTCAACTGTAAAGACGTTTCGCACGGTTTCTGAAATTTGCAATCCAATTAAACATTAAATAGAGACCAACAATTAGAAAATTTTCTTCATTTTAGAATATATTTTAGCACCTTTTACGACTTCCAATAGTTTTAGGTTTTTCATCGATGTCTTGTTTCCTTTACCCGTAAAATTAATTCGCCTGCCAAATTCATTCGTAAATAATTTTTTAAAGATTTTTCTAGTGCTCGCCTCGATCTGTGTCGCAGTTGAAAATGCCAAATATTCAACCTAGTATCAAATATAAGAAAAAACATTAAGGTTTAATTATGCATGTAAAATATCTCGATTAAATCGTACCAGTAATTCGCGATTTGAATCCACCTCGAGCCAAGATTCAAACTCCGCCAGTGCTACCTCGTTGTCGAGGGGTAATTTTGGAATGGCACTGAAATTGGGAGCCTTCCTACCATCCGGCCTTTGTTTCACATTAATCAGTAAAGCCTTAATGTCTTCAGCCTGCTTTTCCAACAAAGTTAGCACACTTTGCGTTGTCCCTGCAACGTGATTACAAAGCGTTAACATAATACATCAATTTTAATAAAATTATTTTGCTTGTACTAACTTGAAATCAACAGCCGTAAATCATTTAACTCCTGCGAAGAGGTGTCTCCAGTTTCAACTTGATTTCCTACTTGTAGATTGCTTTGCTCTTCAGTTTCGGGAATTATTTCAGGAATGCTCAATGGTTGGTCTAAAAAGCATCACCATAATGATTAGTATAAAATATTTGTGGCAGTATTATAAGCCTACCCAGCTCCAAATTATCCAGAAGTGAGCCAGACGGAGGACTGTTTTTGTTCGCGTCGCTATCCTCCTCATCGGATGAAGACGTTACATCCCCTCGTGTGCTGCTGGGCTGAATATCGGGAATTATCTTCTTGCTCCTTAATCTGCTTTCTGGTTCTGTTTCACTTTCCAAGTTGGAAGTGTCCTCGGCTACTTGAAGTTTTTTTGTCGCAACTTCATAATCATCTAAAATAATGATATTTGTTAGTAAATGTAAAATAATTGGAATGACTTCTCATAATTTGAATTAAATAGCTATTTACCGTAATTCCCAATAATCCTGGCGTAGCTAACTCTTCCCCACTTGACATCAGGAATAGCAGTGCCCTTTTTTATCAAATTTCTAATACTTGGCCCAGAGTTTGGTGGCCAGAGACAAACTTTCTCTGCGGGGATAACCCAGTGACTTGGAACAAGCTCCACACTGAATTGTATTTATGAGGGGGGAATTCAATTATGTAATATTTTTTTGGCGACATTGAGACAACAGATAAATTAACAGGGAATTAAATTAACAGGGAATTTACGAGACTGCGAGGGTGGGAGAGAAAAGGAAATACCACGCTTCTCTTAGATTCAAACTCTCGCGCGTTGCCTGTCTCTTCGCACCCACCATTCATTGCGTATAAATTGCATGATTTTAACGCCTCATGTAATGTGGGTATTAACGAGATATTGGTGCGGTATTTTTACGCAATATCTCAGCACGTTTGGGTGCAATAATTTTTCAACCATAGGTTACAGTTTTTTAATGCAAATTTAGCGTGTCTCACGGTGCACACCAAACTTAGCACAAAATTTATGCAATAATCACGCCTTTTTTTGTTTGTTAAAAATTTTCACCATGGATGCGTTACTTTGACGCAAAAGTAATAATTTTTGTTGATCGGGTAGTGAATTAAGATTTTACTTCAGTGATGACCTGATCAGCAGTATCTTTATTAATATCATCTTGGGAGCAAGTATTTTGCAAGATGTTAAGCATTTTTGTTTAATCAAAACAAATTTTCAATCTTTTAATTTTCAGATTTTTGACTGATAATTGTAACAAAAAATTGCGCCTTTAAATTCGGGTGGAATGTGTTTCTTAAAATGATACATGAACGTGATGGGATGATGTGCGTGATTATTTTACTGCTGACCTCGGACAACTTAGCCATTGGATTAGGGAAGTCTTTTGTTCTGGCAAAACAAGGGTCGATAGTAAGGTCTGCTTATTCGCCAGGATGTGATCCATGCGCTCTCATTTTCCAACAATTATAGCTTGTGTAATTCTGCACGGATTTTGAAAGTAATTATAGAGGTAGTTATTTAAAAATATGACAGTAGCATAGTGCATCCAAAATCGGTTTTTCCGATTTTACAAAACCGGTTAAAAACCGGTTTTCGATTAAACCGAAAACCGGTTTTACTTTTTTCCAAAAAACCGGTTTTGCAAAAAACCGGTTTTAAGATTTTCATAGAAACCGGTTTTGTCGAAACACCGGTTTTATTACACGCGAAAACCGGTTTTAGATTTTTGATGGGGCAAAGTGGTAAATCGTTTTTTATTGGAGCGGGGAGTTTAGTATTGACCGTGCGAGGACTTATAAAAACTAATTTTTCATTTCTAAGTCTTTAAAATGGCAAATTCAGAGCCATCAACACAAATTCCGATTTATGTTAACTATCTTAAGAAAGGGGATGATGAATCTTCCGTTTGGTATTATTTTTTACGGGAAAAAGACGGTCAGTCCGGAAAATGTAAAAATGGTGACTGCCAACAAATTATCAAAACAAGTGGTGGTACAACGTCTAGTCTCAGGTAAAATATTATTAGAGTGACTTAAATTAAATTTAAAAAAATATCTGGATTTTATTGACTGGAATATTTTATAAAGAACCCATTTGAAGTCAAAGCACAAAATTATATTAAAAACTAAGGCGACGGAAGAACCACTTGCTCAAGGTAAACTTACTCAAGGTAAACTTACTCAATTAATGCAATCTAAAATTACATAAAGCAACACTACAAGACCAATTTATTTACAGATGTGCCTGCTAAGATTACGAAGAAAATAGACCAATGTTTTCCACATGTTGAGAAGATTTCGCGATTTCTAACAATTTCACGGATGGTCGCAAAGGACGGTTTGCCATTCTCGGTATTTTGTACTTCTGCCGATCTGAGGAGAGCAATATCGGCACTTCATTTGAAGGACGACCTCCCACGGTCACCATCAACTATTCGAAGCATTGTAATGAAGTTCTCACAATCACTCCGAGCACAACAGTGGAAAAAAATTCAAGAAAATGTGAAAGCTGGGACAAAGTTATGTGCAATATTTGACGAGTGGACCTCAAGAAAGAATAGGCGCTATATGTATATCATTGTTACTGGATCTTAGCAAATTTGGAATTTAGGTCTGGTACGAATACATGGTTCCCTTACAGCAGAAAAGGCTCTATCACTGGTTGAAGAAAAATTGAGACAAAATGGAATGGATTTGGAGACAACCATCGTTAGCATAATCACAGATGGGGCTTCAGTGATGACCAAAATCGGAAAGTTATCACCTACCCATCAGCAGTTATGCATCGCCTATGGCGTTCAGCTGGCAGTAACCGATGTGCTTTATGCAAAAAAGAAAAATGCACAAAATGTGGTTTCTGTTCCCAATCAGGCAGATGAGATTGATGTTATGAACGACAATGATGGCTATGCCGGAGGGAACGAAGAGTGCGACCAGGATGATGATGACGACCAAGACAATGATGGCGCTTTCGTTGTTGATATAAATGGCCCGCCCATGGATATTATGCATGATACCATTGCTCCCCTTATCTGCAAAGTTCGTAAAATCGTCAAATTGTATCGAAAATCGCCTCTCCGAAATGAAAACTTGCAAAAGTATGTGAAAATCGAATTTGAAAAAGAATTGTCACTCCTTTTAGATTCGAAAACTAGATGGAATAGTTTAATGGATATGATGGAAAGATTTTACAACTTACGAAGTTGTATAAGGAAATCCTTAATTGACTTGAAACCTGAAGTTAAAATCTATTTGGACGACGATGATGTCAATCAAATTCATCAACTAATCCAGGCACTCGGGCCGCTGAAGTTAACAGTAGAAGTTCTTTGTCGCCGCGATTCAAATCTTCTATCTGCAGATGCTGCGCTCAACTTCACGTTGTCAAAACCAGATGAATTGGAGACCAGAGTGGCTGAGGACCTTGCGGAAATGCTCAGGAAGCGAATTTTGGAAAGAAGAACTGAATACCCGGGAGTTTTGCAATATTTACACTCCGCCTCACACATGATGAGTTAAAAATACGATAAAGTATTTGAAATTCCATCTAAACATAAGATAACAATGGTCCTAAAAAATTTGCTATCCCCTTTGTGCCCAAGTGCAGAATCATGCCAAAATACACGGAATGAAGGAGATCGGGGGCCAGATGGAATTTTGATCAGCAACAAAAAATTACCACTTCAAGTTGAGTTGAACCAAGCTCTTCAAGAGATTGATACTGTTGAGCATGCCGAAAAACACACGTCGCCACAAACGTTGTTGTCAACTATCAAGAAAGAGATGTCGCTGTTTGAAGCCGGAGGGTCACGCGGTCATCATCTCCAAATTGCATATGAATATTTGAAGACAATTAAACCAACAAGTGATAAAGACCAAGTGTACTGTACAAATCCTTTTCGCGTCGATGTCACCGAATTTAATTTAAAAAATTGTAAATTGAATTCCTGGTGCAAGGATATATATATAACAACGATTTTTGAAATATGTGCATCTAACCCCCCTCCAAAAATGGGGGAATAAAATTTGAAAAAATGAGAAAGTCAATGTATACAGAGTACAGTAAGAATTAGACATCGAATTGTATTTGACATTCTAATTCCCCCTTGAATACGAACATTTTTATGCATCACGAGTTTCAAAATTTGAAAATTCGCGGTTTTTTACGTACATACAAATCCTCAAAAAACTCATGGTTCCCACACTTTGCAGTCTGACAACCTAATGCCCGATTTTTCTCCTTCGAAAGACGAACATTTTAAGCTTTTGTTGTCAGACTGCAAAGTGTGGGAACCATGAGTTTTTTTGGGTCAAGGTTTCTGGGGGAGGGACTTATTTTTGCAAGAGCCGTAACAAACTATTGTCACTCATGAGAAAATGAGACATATAATTGAAGTTATTAAAATTTGTGATGCTGAATTACCAATTCGCCCAAAATTTAAAACTTAAGCTTTTTTGAATTTATATTTCCGGTCAGAAAGTGACACATGAGACAGACCACCATACGGCACTGTCGAATCGACAGTCAGCGGTGGTGGTGGATACCCACCAGAGTCCGAGTCTCACTCTGCTTCTGCTAAATATGGAAAAGAGTTTTGTAGTACGCTTGGTCTGGTTCAGCTCAAGTGTTGAATCAGAGCGTGCATTCTCAGCAGCCGGATATATTTGTAGTAAAGTGCGCTCTAGCTTTAAGGATGAAACCTTAGATGAGTTGTGTTTCCTAAGATCATATTTCAATATGAACGATCATTGATCATAATCTATTTCTTATTTTGTAATACATAAGAAAATTAATTAAATATTGTTTGGAATTACCAGTATTTTTGGTGTCGGATTAATTTACTTTAAATTTAATTGTGCATTTAATTTTTAAGAAAACGGCAGATATAATTTTTCAACCCATTTTTAAAAGCCATTTTGAAACGATTTTAAAAGTGGTAAAAACCGGTTTTAAAACCGGTTTTATCAAGTTAAAAATCGAAAATCGGTTTTGGAAAAAAATCGAAAATCGGAAAAACCGAAAACCGGTTCTATAAAAATACATCAAAATCGGATTAATCGAAAACCGGTTTTAAAAAATATTCCGATTCAGGATGCCCTACAGTAGCATAAATACCTAATATAAAATTAGTGAGGCAATTCACGCCCTCCTTCGTAACTACGTAAACAGCGTAAAATCCGTAAACTTACAAACGTTTACAAACTTTTACAAAAATTGTCAAGGAAAATCAGTTTACAAACTTTTGTAAACTTACGCAGCTCACAGGCGTCTTTTAATTTTGTAAAGTATTTTGTAAACTCAATTTGCGGAAGAAAAAAATTTGTTCGATACAGAAATTTGGCATAGAGGTTGCTAATGGCTCCTAATGAAAGAATATGAAGTGAAATTGGAAAATTTTTCATCTGGAGGTACCCGAAGGGGTGACCTATACCGATTTTTCAAAATCATCCAATCGAGCTGAAATTTGGTATAGAGGCTGCTAAAGGCTCCTAATGGAAGAATATGAAGTGGAATTGGTAAAAAATCACATCCGGGACCCGTTGGGGTGACCCATACCGATTTTCATAACTTGTCTCAAAAAGCTAACTTGTCTCAAAAAGCTGACGGTGATAGCTTCTCATGAACGAATATGAAGTCAAAGATGAACAAAAAATAACCAGATGGGCAATAAGGGAGGGGCACCGATTCCGATTTCTAAGAAGTTATATATTCAGCTAAGATTTAGTGTGATTTAGGATTAGAATTTAGGAGGGTTGAATTTCGAAATTTTTATAGGAACAGCCTTCACTGTTCGTGGTATTTATTATATCAATAAATGCAGCTCCACAAATTTCTTCCATTAATTTCCGTTTTCTGGAAATGATCGGCATTTTGTTTCAATTATCAGATAAATTTTTACGAAAATAATTGCGAAAGTGAATTCACGGGAAGCTGTTTGTAAACGTTTGTAAGTTTACGGATTTTACGCTGTTTACGTAGTTACCAAGGGTGCGTGAATACCCTCAGTGTATATGTATGTACTCGAAAGACCGTATCAACGTCCCAACAACTGACACGGGGATAGAATTGCTGGTCCGAGTCCCAAATTACTGACGCGTTGTCTATAAGTAGTGAATTAAAGTAAAAAATTAATAAATGTAGCAATAACTTGCAACACATGCCTAATTACCCTCATATTTATATATATTACGCAAGATTAAACTTGCCTCGGTCCATGCAGTTGCCACATTTAGCGATTTCACCCAACCCGAGGCTGGTGTAGTGTTGTTCATTAGGGTTTTTAATTGATGAATGTCCTTGTTATCGTTGGTAAAATCGATACTTTGGACGATCACGTTATGAGTATATGTACATATATGCAAAAGCTTGATTAATTCGTGCAAATGCATAATCTTAGAACGTATCGTAGCCCATGGATTAGGTCTTTGGATTTGTTGTATGATCGAGACCTTATACCCTAGGGAACCGCTTTAAGAGGTAAAGCGGAGTATTTGCTTAATTAAGAAATATTGTGCATTCAGCTCCTTTTATGAAGAATAATAAAATCACCAGCAGGTTATAACTTCATAGTCACCCGTGATCCCCTAGGGATGTTGGATATTCTCATTTGCGAAGCCAATGTTAAACTGGTCTGAACCGGTTGGGGACGGAAAAGTGGCTTTTTATATAATTTCGGAAATCATCTTATTATGTCGGTCGTGTATAATATCGACATTTATATAATACAATCTTTTATGATACATATACACATCTACATACATGTAGATATTCTTCATAATTTTTTCTTTATATTAATCTTTTCACGCTATATTCTATGCTCCTTATGACAGTGCACTTCTACGCGTTTAGTTTTGAGTATTGGTACAAACATTTTTTGTCACTTCGTAAGACTGATGGTGGGGTTCGTTTAGATTTGTTGTTACTGAAATGGGACAAAAAAACACGTTCTTGAGTTATCTTTCTTCCCTATAAAATGTAAAAAAAATAAGTTATAATTTTACTTGTAATATTGGATCCACTAACGAACTATACATATTTTCTAAGTACACTCTAAGAAATTGGGTGATCGGTGTTATTACCGCGCGAGTGGAGATAGCGAGCATCACCGTAATGGTGATAAACCTATCACCGAAATTTGTCACCATTGCTGGTGATCGCCACTACCACCGCACCATGGTGGTAGCTTCGCTATACACGTGACTTGCAGAGGGGCAAGTTTGTCCTACTCCACATACCAGAAACAGCAGCGGAGTTGCAATGGTAAAATTACTTCGTATTTCAAAGTTTAAGAGGAAAAAAATAATGCCGTGCCCAAACAGTTATCGTGAATTTATTGACACAGGTAAAAAAAATTAAAAGTTAAAAGTTAGCTAATTTTGGCCAAGTTAATTTTGCTTGATTTCTAGTTGGAGAGAAATTTAACTTGGATGTGGATCTGGAGGACCAGAATGTGCAGAAATTGAAGGATTTTGACGAGGTAATATTTGCATAAAATTTAGTTGCTTATTTGTTGAATCTGTACATAATTAATTAATATATTTTTTTCTCATTGGTCGGCCAACTGTGATCAATCTGGAGTCTATGTACATATAACTCACGAATGTGGTCACTGGTTGCACTTAAAAAAATCTCGATAGTACAACGGAATCTCTGCAAATAAGTAAATATGTGGCAAAGTTGTTTTAACGGTAAGGATAAATCAATAAACTCTGATATTTTGACCAATCTAAATGAAAGTTAATTATGTATTTTAAACTTTAATTAATTTCAGTCAGTGTCCAATGTCGTGAGTCGTGACTGGAAACTATTCACAATTTCATTTGCTGGTGCAGTTCCACAATGGCGAGGGACATACATAGGTTTTACATATATAGATACATACAAAATATTAATTATCTTTTTAGATATTTAAATAAAGCAATAAATTGTGAAAAATGTGACATTTTTGTATGAAATACTGAAATTATTTGTATTTATCTATCACCAGACAGTGAAAAGGCGAGCTAATTATGGTGGTGGCATATCACCGAGCGGTGATAAAAAATGTACATCCTTCTACCACCACCCGGTAGATGTCTACCACCACGATGGTGATGGCACTTTCTATCACCGCGCGGTGGTTGGTGACCACCATTGCGGTAGAGTCACATATAGTCACCGCTCGGTGATAGTCCGGTGGTAAAATTTCTTAGAGTGTATGCACTTATCTCATTGATCGTAGGAATGGGGCAATTTCGAAATATGTAATCAGTACGCAGATTAAAGCATATAATTTTTACGGTATAATTTATTTGCTGCAAATTTTGACATTACTTCACCGTAAAGAAACGTTTTTCCCTATTCCATAAATTTTTTGTGTTCATATTTTTTTAAAGAAATCGGTTAGGTTATGTTAGAATTCCGATCCTTGTTTCCATATTTCTTGAAGAGGTTTTGTATAAAGATGACGGGAACATACAAAATTTGACATTGTATCTCATACATGAAGCACGACTCTATATTAACTCTGTAATACGTGTCCCTGAATTTATTTAGTCAGCCAATTACATAAGTCAACAAATTGGTTTTGATGTATGCAATATTATGGTAATTCACGCAGTCCTTTGCTAACTTTGTAAAATCAGTTAGTTTTGTAAAATAATTTTGCAAATTAAAACCTACCTTCGATTTAAGTAAATTATAAAAAATGTAATCTAATTTTCCTTCAAGATATTTGTAAAAGTTTACAAGTTTACTGATTTTACAAAGTTACCAAGGACTACGTGAATTAACTTAGGTATGTATTATTTATGTTACAAATACACTAATAAGTTTAGATTTCAATTCATACGTTGGACATATGCAAATATGTGCCCAGATGTCAATAATTAGATGTACTCAAACCCTCATAACAAAGCTAGTAAATAAATAAATTTATTCTTTGTGTGTCAATATGTTGCCAATTATTGCATCGCTAATTTAAATTTTCCATTACATCAATTAAATTTTTAATACAACTAAAGTCGATTTAAGCTACAAATATTCAATAATTGATAACTCATTTCATTCATAGGTAAAGATGACACCTCTGAAAATAAATGTAATGTTGAAATATTTTGCAAATATTTATGTGTGAACAATTTGCACACAACTAAAATCTCACGATTCAGGAATTTTAACCTAAAATATTCTTTTCAGCTGAAAACTTTCGTGGTGTCATATTTAGCGTCGGATTGGTTGTTACACCGTATATTTAACTCAATTTATGTACATGTGCAAACTATGTATTTGATCTGAAGCCAGTGAAATATGCAAATTCACACATAAGGGTAAGTGACTGGTACATAATGGAGATCTCCCAACGTACATTAATATGCTCGAAGACGATCGTAAGTTCAAATTACGTGATATTAACTTTGCGAAAGACATCTGCCAATGCGCAGATTCGGATTCAGATTCGGAGAGATATTTCTTCTCAAAGAGGAGAAAATCCACAGTAAGCTACTTGATTTAGCGTTGTTGTACTAAATAAATACATAGCACTAGTAGAGTGTATGTACATACACTCTTCTGAACCTGGAATTAAATCGGAATACACAAACTACCCTGTGGAATAATTTATGTAGGGGCCGTCCATTAATTCTGTGACGCAAAAATTCGCAATTTTCTAGATTCCACCCCTCTAAAACATGTGTGTCACGTAAGCACAATATCGTTAGAACCAGGTAACCCCTCTCCCCCACCCCGCGTTATAAATATATTTTACAGACGAACTCCAACCTGCAATAAAAAGCATTTCCGGTAAAGAAAACTTTATCATTCAGAAACAACTCGCTGACCATGAAGCGTGAAAAATGACTAATCTACGCTACAACGACGGTATTAACAAGGCTGGGTGGTCGTGCATAAAGCATTTCTGTGAAAATGCATAATATTCTCACAATAATTAAGCATGAGATGCATACGATTTTTCCCGTATTATGTGTATAAATTTTGCGAAAATTTATCACATCCTTAACACACAGCCCCCGATTGAGCATGATTTTAATCACTTGACGAAATATTCCTGAGCAGACTGTACAGGATTTCCTTAGTACATACGCAATTTACTCATGCACCTTCAAAAAATTGCCAACAGGTTGTTGCTTCGCTACAAATATGTACATAATTTCTGAAAAGTTTTTAAAATGTGACCCCCATTGTTAATTTCTACGTGGTAAATATTGCCTAGTTTAAATACAGTGTAGCGACTGAGGCTTAATTCGGGTAATATTTGGCGTATGCAAAGTGCACCCTGAGCTTTCACTTTTAATGCGAAATAATTGTTTAATTAGATCAATACTTCGTTTTCGACGTATACAATTCATACTCCTGGAAATTGAAATAATTGAGAATTGAATAGTATTCGTGGTAAATTTAGATCGCTAAAATTTACACGGGTGAGTAAATTTATTAAACTTTAAAACGCATTTACATAAAAGTTTGAAAATTTGGTTGATTCGCGTATGTATATACATACTCCGTCTTGGTATTGATTTGTTAATTTTTTCCTGCCGGATTAGTGTTAGTTTATTTCCAAATAAGTAGTAATTTTTCATAATTACAATATTATCGAACCGCAATAAGTACTTCTTACTACCAATGCCGGTAAAGTATATGTGCATACGAGTACATGCATACATACATACAACCATCAATAATGGTTTAATATCAGAAGCGTATGTACACCGTATAAGTATGAATTTTCGGACTTTTTAATTTTTTTCATATATATTTAAAGGAATACAAGCACTTAAATGTATACGAGGAGTACACCTATACTTACAAAAACAAAACAAACGTATGACATACATAATTTCAAATTTACCTAAAGTTATCATACCTTACTTAATTTTTAGACTTGTGTAATTCCATTTCTTGTCTTTTTTCAGGCCGTTACGACGAATTATCGTCCTCGGAATCGTACTTTAACTAAAGTTTAACTCCTTCAAGAAGGCGTCATATTTACGTGAGTTATTTACATACATATGTAGATGATTTAAACTCTAAACAAAATTGTGTAGCTTGAGTATGACAATTGTGTAAAATTTATTTGAGTACTAAAATTTCCGAAAGGGTGTTTAAGATAAAATGCACCGTTCAGATCGTTATGCTAAACTTCCAATCCGTACAAAGGATATTTATCTGAAATATTGTTACGACCCAAAATGCACCGGATCGTTCGCGGTTGAATTCGGGCCAGTGGGGAAGTGCTGAGGACAATTGCAGCTCCCACTTTTTAGGATCAGATTGATTTAGTACGGGCAGACAAATATCAGGTGCACGCTCCAACTCACGACTGGCCGGGTCATACGACCAACCGGCTCCATTAACGATTTAATGATCTAACTAAAGCTAAATTTACGTACATTCTTCATTATGTAATTGCACGAATCATCAGGTATTGATTGGCGCGAAATGTAATCACACCAATCAGAGAAACTGTAAATGGCAAACAATATGAATGCAACACTCAAATGTTGGACCGCATAAAATTATGTTGCGTCTTACACTGTCACCTCGTTACTTGAATCCACGTCCTTAATTGAAAGCTGCCGTAAATATGTAATCACTACCATTAGCCTTTTATTGACCGATCATGCGGAACCGCTGACTCATCCCTCATGTGTATGCAAATAATGAGGAGATATATAGAAGGAGACATCTCTGTTCTTATCGCTAATTGTAATCTATTGATTTCCTGGTTGTCACTCCTAATTCTCCGTCTGATCAAGCGGAACGAATGGGTGCAATCAATCTTTTTGCATATATACATGGACCGGAACCTGAACTAACGCACAACGGAGCACCTCCTTCTCACATTACACGATTTCTATAAACAACACAACGTAGATAACAATTAGTAATATTCGGCAAAACAAAAAAGTCGATATTTGGCATACCTAGGGTGTTGAGGAGACTGTGAACATCCACCGCTCGCACCAGGATTCGATCCTAGTGCGAGCCGTGGCTTAACAAACTTTGCCTCAATATCCATTGATTTTTGATTCCAGCACCGTTGTTCATATTGAACTTCTATCAGATCTCCTTCCCTGAAAAAGGCGTTCGCCGGCAAAAACCCGACCGCCATCTTTCCTCTTACGATTTTTCCAGACCTTTTGGATGCGCGTGGTTTCGTGGTAAGGGTCAGCACGGTTGCTCGGGTTTCAGGGAACACAACTTCATCGTCCTCCACATCGCATGCACCTGTTGCTGCTTGTATGACAGCTTGGACAGTCGCCGGCGGTGAGGTAGGAGTTGTTGCGCTGGCACGCTGGGCTGGGGTACTCCTGGTAGGGTTCTCGGCAGGTTTTTCAAATAATTCTTTAACAAGCGCGGACCTATTGGCGGCGCTTTGCTCTTTCTTCTTGGGTTTAGCCTTTTTGCGGGGTTCGGGGCTATTCGGTTGTGGAATAATGACAAGTGCATCGTTCACGTGTCGACAGAAATCCCATAAATCCTCACCATACAACAACTTGATGTAAGCTTTAATTTCCATATCTTGTGATTCCCATTTCTATTTATGGATGTTGATCTCCCTGGGGTCAGAGGACACTGTATGTCCAACGAGCGTAGAGGCGGCTTGGTCTTCACTGCTATCGAAAAATATAGCGGGGTCAAGGAATTTATGATTGTAGGTATGATGGGTTTATTCCGGGCATGGTTAAGCCAATTTGTAATTGAAACTCTGGTTCCTGTTTTCGTAATCGACTGGAATTTCGTAATCGACTGGAATTTCGTAATCGACTGGAATTTCGTAATCGAATTTAGTCTGGCCACGTGTAACGCAAATGCACATTCCTGGCGCTTCAATCGGATCCTGCTTTACATAAGCTTGATCAAAAAGTCCTTCGTATTCCCCATTAATGGTTTCATTGATGGTATGAATGAGACTATTTCTTTTCTTTCAAGTTAAAAATTTAATTTGGCTTATAAAATTTATTTGTTACGTACAAATTCTCATACAAAATTCTGTTGGCTTCATTCCCCCGAAAATATTAAAAATTGAGTAATATTTTTTTTGGAGTATTGGCTACGATGATAAACTATGTTTTCGAAGTATATAACGATTTTTTTTTCAAAATTAAATTCATCCTACACCCAAACACGCATTACTTTTCAATACCTTGTATTGTGTACCGGCTGTCTCGTCGTTTGAAAGAGTAGCACTATTTCTAAATAATCTGTCATCAAATTAAGACACGTAGTTTAGACAGGATAATTTATTAATTTTTCTCCGTGCCCAAACTAGCTCCAATGTCTTGAATATTTCAGTGTTAATAATTTTCTTAAGTAATCCATTCGAACCATTTCGTATTATTCTGTGTGCAAATTGACTTAGATATCCATTCGGTTACGTTATATTTGGATTTCAATCCTTATGTTAACCTTTCCATATTTTGAAATAGGTTTTTGCACAAAGTTGATGGGAATATACTAAATTTGCCGTGGTATTTCATTTACGCACGACGCGTAGATACGTATCAGCTCACCCACTCACTAAAAAAATAAACACACGCCTTAAATATGTATACCTCCATGACACATATGTAAGTAGAAATATAAATCTGAAAATTTGTTATGTTTAACATTAAGAAATTTTTATAGATTTACATAAATATACACAGAAATTACATATATGTAAGTTAAATACATATGTTTCTGTGAATTTCGTAAACTTAATGAGTCGAAAAATTGCATTTCATCTTTGCAATATTGTGGTAATTCACATAGTCCTTAATTACTGTAAAATACAAAAATTTTGTGAAATAATTTTGCAAACTTTCAAACGATCTTACTATTAGTAAGGTCACAAAAATGTGTAAGCTAATTTTGTTTTCAATTTTGTGAAAGTGTGCAATTTTACGGATTTTGCAATGTTACCTTGGCCTGTGTTAGTTGCCTGATTACGTTTGATACTACCTAGATTAATTAGTCTATAAACACGGAATATACGTTAATTAATGTATGTAAATAAAAAAAAGTATTAAAGAAATATATGCATATTAAACAAAATTATTATTAGAAATGCATAATAAACAAATTCCATATTCATACATACATACATCAAATATATAAACATTTATTGAGAGGTTGTGACAAAAATTTAAGTAATTACATGTACAGATTCATAATTATGCTACAAACATAAATAAATACTTTCTTTTTGTAACAAATGTGGCTTAGATTATTGTAAAAATACGGTATTCATAATTAAAATCAATGCTCACATTTCATTACGTTTCCTGCATCTTAAGCTAAGATACTCTTTTCAGCTGAATGATTTCTTCTTGAACGGCTCAACAGTTAATTAATCTATCTAACCCAAACTCTGTTTTTTGAAGATATTGATTAAAAGATAAAGGGTGTTAATTTAATTCGACCCGAATATTTTTTAGAATCACACCCAAACCTGCTTAAATTAGCACAAAAGAAAAGTGAAAAGAGTTAAAAGAAAGGTTTCATTAAAATAAATTAGCAATTTGTCTCTTATAAAAAATCTACTTCGAAGTAAACACCGTTTTTGAGGTTCAAGTTTTCATAAATTTAAAGGAGAAATCTGGATGAAACGAAAAGCGTAATTCTGTTCCGGATAAATAGCTAAGCTGCCTTACAATAAAAATTTTTCGCATAGCTGTGTGCCCATGCGTATAGCCTCTAGGGTAAATTAGTGTATATTTATGGAGTATATATTGTAATCTAGCAGATCGTATTCAATGCACGACACACTCTAAAAAATAATGTTACCCTCTGGAAAAGCAAGTGTATTCAGAATTCTATTATTGTTGAGAAAAATATGCTAAATCCAAAGTAACGTTGGCTTAATTAAGCTTAAAATGTACTCTTGAGATGCAAATTGTATATACATACTCCATTAAGCATTCAGAGTGGAATTATTTTTCGAAAGAATAACATTATTTTTAAGAAGGCTGTACAAAATATGCCATCAGCGTTATTTTTCACAAATGAAGATGATGGCCATAATTAAAAATTCTGTATGTTCCCACAACTTTTTGCATAATCCTTAGAACTGTATCGTTTAATTTGACAACAGAATTCATAATCATTTGTCACCAAACGGTACAGAAGTGTATAAGACAAGACTAAAATGTGTTAAAAATCTTGAAATTTAACGTTGAATTTGGAACTTGAAATAATTCAAATTCTAACCGACTCAAGAAATTCGGTTAGGTCTAAAAATTGGAACGAATCCTTAACGAACGAATTAAGTTAAATATCGGTACAAAATAATTTATGCATACTTTCAATTTGTTAAGAGGGGTGTGTCTTATAGCTGAGAATTGGATCCGTCTTAATAATTTACATATTCCTACATTTCCCTAATGCAGGGATCCCCTACTTGTCATAATTAGTGACAATTGATACATTTACGAATCTTCCGATGCGATATTTTCAATGGCAGCGTTATATTAAAGTATTCTTTGGTAGTGCATAACAAATGTATGGCTCTGCACTATATTACGAACTGGAAGTAGATCGGTGTTTTAGTTAGGTAGCCCAAACAATCTCACATGAATTTATACACTCCTTTCTCGGTGTAGAATGCTGGCAGTGCTTGTGTTCTGCGGATATTTTTGAACCATCTACATTAGAACAGAAAAATCTAGATCTCTTGTCAACTATCCTATTCATTTTTATAAGTTCTTAAAAAACAAAATCTTTACTTATCTTTTGCAAAGTCAAAAAATTAAAGTCCTAAGGACCCTTGATCCATCGTCGTGATGGTCAGGTGTGCATTGCAGGTGTTAAATTATTCCCAGTTCTCCAAGTTTGAAGATAAAGAATGAACTCCTTCTTGCTCGTCCGATGAGTCAAGGTAATCAAACTTCTGACCAAAGGTTCTTCAGATTCATGTAGAATGAAGGGGTTATCGTCGAGCCATGTTGAATACTTATGGAAAGCAGTGTGCAGATGTGGAGGAAGTTCTGGGACGCGACTACGATAATTCTTGATGCGGTGTGAGCGTCTTATATACCTATGTTCCAGGAAAAGTTGCAATAACCGGTTAACTATGTTCCAGGAAAAGTTGCAGTAACCGGTTAACGAACTTCGATCTCCGAAAAATCAAAAATTCTCCACATTGCAAACACCGAATCCGAATGGATGGAAACGTCATATAAATGTGTGCACAGGGTGCATAAATTTTTTTTTAATGCACCTTGATGTGCGCATATAAGTGTGTAATAGTGATTAATCCACTTCTTCAAATTCTTAGGCCATATCATATTTCGTGACATGTTGAAGAGAATGTAAATTTTTCCTTGTGAAGCGATTATGATGATCTCGACAGTATTAAAACTAATAATATTGTTGAAAATTGCGAAAATAATTTTATTCACGATAATAACATTAATAATTATCATTTCGTCGAAGATGATGATGATAGTCTCGGTAAGACTACAATTGTCAGTGTTGTTGGAAATTTTGGAAGTAGTACGACTCAAACAACAGCTAAACTAAGTAATTGATGTGAAATGTACAAGTTTCCCATTATGGGCAAGCCATAATGAGATGGGCCATAAACCTCTCGCATCCAACCACTCTACCCGAACACACCCGCCGTCGACTCCAAACCATCTCCAGTACTCCCATCCTCCAGTCCTGTGCCACCTACCAGCCAACCGGAACCCCCCCAAACTTCTCCGCCATGCTCTTCTCCCCTGCAATATCAGTCAGCCGATCCGCCTCAACCATGCAAGCACTTATGGACTCTTCGCGTCGTTCATCGTCATATGTCGCCACGCCATCATATGCCGCTCACATTGGCTTCCAACAAGGACATAAACCACAATACAAAATGAACAGAACAACCTCGAATTTTTTTTTCGATCACATTTTATTCCCTCCACACATTTCCCCACACAATACAAAAACCAACCACAAAGAAATGAAAATTATATCAAATATTCCACCCAGAATTCCTATTCCCTACCTCTGGGATTTCCCCAACAGCCCATCAAATGGCACATTCCATATGCACATTGATAGTCTCCACGACAATTCCGCTGATGATGTCTCAACCTCTCCATCGAACGAAATCTGTGTCCACAGGGACACGTTGCTGGATGTTCACTCCCCTAGAACACAAATACAACATGTAGCTCACACTCAATCTTCACTCAACTACCCACTCATTTTCTGACAGCTACACAATATTAACTCTCCGGTTACCTGGTACGGAATTATCCTCCTACGTCGTCTTCTCTGTACTACGGACCGCACTGGAACAACGGGCACACACTCCAAACCCTCATCTGACGAATTTTCAGTCGCCTCATCGGACGACCCCTATAAATTCACAAACCATCATGATCTTCAAATTTGGTATCATTCCCTTCACCTCGACTCTCAACACGCCCTCCTCCATCCACATTTTTTTGAAAACAAAAAAACAAAAAAAAGAGACACTTATCTTCTTACCGCCATATACTCTCGCGGTCGACTTGGACCCGCCGCTTCCTGCGCCCGGCTAGGCACAACCGCTCGTACACCCATGTCCACGCTCACCTTCTAGACCACAAAAACAACCATTTTGCAAACGTCACATCTCCATTCACCCACCATATCCTCAGGACTTGCTCTCTCTCATTCTCCCACTTCTCACCATTGACATCCTCGCGCGTGCGACAGCCTGAGGTACTACTCTGACCTTCGTCCTGATCGGTCCTACCACACCCCCGGCTGCCTGCGATACAGGGGCATAACCTGCCCCCGACCCCGTTCGCCTCGTCGTCTCTGCGGTGATGCCCCCCTGCAAACCATATGCCCCTTACTTGTCACATCATTCCAACTGTTGTCACACCGTGCCAAACAAATAAGGATGCGTACCACAGCTGGATCACACCCTGTCTCCAAGTCTTCCTCCTCCGTAGTAGAATCCCGCTCCGAATCCACTTCCATCGAACCCCCCTCCCCAATCCCAACGGCCGTGGCGTCATCATCTATCACCACGGATGAACGAACCAAACAATAACTAAATAAGCCTTCACTACAATTTCACAACTTCTCCACAAATACCCAATCTCGCCTTACCTGACGTCAAATCAATGACCTCGCTGGCCGAGGCCACGCCGCCTCCAGCCGCCGCGTCACCATCTGGCCAACAAAATACAAATGAGCATCAACAACGTACTCCCACATACCCCTTCACCAATCCAAAATCACTACTCACCCTCTGACGTCAAATCCACAACCTCGACTTCTGGCTCCAGAACTCTACCCGGTACTCCCTCGGAACAAGGAAGGCGAGCAAGAACGACCCGACACTCCGGAAAATTGGAAGCATGCCCCAACACATACCCATGATCCATGTCTCTGCGATGAGGAAGTGGGCGTAGATTTCTACGCGCTTCTTCAGGGTTCACCTCCATCAAGGAATCAGGAGGCTGGTAGTCCTTGTCCTCGTCGTCATCATCTTCCGAAGAGGTCCTTAGCACCTCCTCTCGCGCAAACTCCTCCAGGATCCCGTTCCACACGGTATCTGGAACCATCCTCGCCGTCACACTATTCAGTAAATCCGTCATGTACGGCATTCCCCCTACCAAGGGGGGGACGCCCGCCTAAACAACAGGAGCAAACTTCACATCAAATTCCCCCCTTCCTTCTTCCCGCCAGCCAACTTACCAGAATCGTTGCCCTATGGTCCATTATGAACTGTAGGGTCACCACGTCCACATATTGCGGCCCGAAAATCCACCCGTATGGATCCTCTCGAACCGCCCTCCTCAGCCGGACGCGAAACTGTAAACATATCAATAAATCCCACGACAACGACCAACAACTCCTAAGCTCTCTCACCCTCTCGGCTTCCTGTCCTCCTCGGTTTTGGAGGCCGATACCCCGATCCACCCATAGGCAGCGGCTTCATGTCAGACCTCCTAAGAGGCAGGATGACATCCCACCTTGGGTATCCTTGCAGCTGGACGACCCCGTGCGAAGCACCCTCATCTATGGGGAGACGCGTGGACAGAAACTCC